TGGGGCCATTACATTGGCACGTCTCATCACTGTCTGCCAGCTGGCGTCAGCAAATCGCTGTGCAATGGCTTGTGGACTCAATTTTGACATGAGGCGTCTCTTCTTGGTTGGGTGTTCATTGTTTTCCTGAGAAGGTGGGTCATCCATTGCAAACACAGGCTTTTCCTTTGGAACTTCATAGAGCAAAATCTTGACTACCTGTCGAGCAAATTTGGCTGGATACGTTTCAGTGAACGTGGACAATGACATACGCTTTCCCTCATGTTTGATGCTTCCTGCGATTTGTCGATGTTCATGATCGGAATTGCACAGCTTTCCATGGATGGCTCGGGCCAATGAATCTGACGTTGTCACAACGTTCAAACGCTTTCGGATGGGCATGGCTGATTCTGGATCGGTCAAGTTGCCCATGCGGCAGAGGTCAAAGCGGCAAATCATTGTGTGTTCCACAATTTCACTTAGTGGTTGGAGCTGCAACATCTTGGAACCATCCGGCTGTTCTAAGTGAAAATGCAGTGATCTCTGCACCTGAAATCGATACATCACAATGGCTAAGCTGATCTGCCAAAGGCTTGCCAGACGTTTCTGAAGAATGTCATGCAACCCATGGAGTGATTTATTCATGTTGAGAGCACTCCATCGACTCCAGGGTCCACATTCAGGGCTATACCAAAGATTCTTGGGATTCTGTGTGGTCAATATTTGAAACATCCTACGGCGTCCTGCAGCTGTTTGGAGGTCACCTTCTGCCAATCCGAATCTTTTGGAGCGGCCACCAATGGACGACATTTGCTTTGTGAGTTCACTGTCACTGGAACACATGACTTCGAACAAGTCAAGTTGAGGAAGTTGAAACTTGTTCTTCTGATTTTGTTGAATCACTTGATCAAGTTCAGCTTGAAATTGCTTTACCATGCGTTGCATTTGTCGGTGATAACTGTTGTTGGAAACATCATGTGTGAAGTCAAAATCAGTGTCCAGTGTCATGTTCAAATGCATTTCTTCTGCAAAAACACCATGCCGTATCAGATCAGCCTCATTTGCACTCAGAAATCTCAGTTCTCGGACTTCACCTGCATCTTCTTCATGTGCTCCAGCATCTCGTGCATCATCATTTCGACTTGTCCCATTCGGTTGGACAGATGCTGGTTGCTCTGTCGTAGATCTTGCATCTCTTCCTGAATGAAGGGCAGGTGCATCAGGTCGGCTGCATCTGATCCGTCCGTGGGCATGACATCTTCCCAGACCTCCTGTGGAACGGGAGGAGTGCTTTTGGTCTCCTTCGGCTTGATGTTCTGGTTGCTGGTTTTGGTCTTCACCTGAACTTCCTGTAGGCGGAGACGGACATACTGCACAAACATCATATGTTCTGGTTTGTCGCTCATCTCGAACCTGTTCAGGATGAACTCGGTCCACTGGGCGTCCTCGAACGCCTGAGCATAGGTCATGCCCTTCTTTGACTCTCCGAAGGTGATTTTCTCGCTGGCTAGCTCTTCCTGAGTCATTACACTCACGGCCTCTCGAGAGATCTGCTTCTTCTGTGACTTGTTGTACTCCTTGAGCTGCAAAGCCAGGGACGTCATGTTCACCCGAGGTTAAGTCACGTTCGGCGTTGATCTTTGTACCACACACTGCTGAGTCGGCCGGACATGGTGGTAACAGATTCACCGGTGAATTGATTCTTGAAACCGTTTCATGACAACTGACCGAACTGTCTAGCGGAGATGATGGATCTGGCACGTTGGGCTCACTAACCCCAAGGCTTCCCTGCGGCTGATGAACTGTCATTTTGGCACCACTTTCAGGTTCAGTCTGAGCCATGCAAGAGGCCTCACTTGATTCACCAGAAAAACTATCATTCCAAAGTTGGTTCAAGTCCATTAAGAACAAGTTCTTTGGGGATCTTTCAAGAGTGAGAAACTTTCGTAAGGCCTTACTCCACATGGTTCCCTCTTCAGTGTCAATCACAGCTTGAATCTGTTTCAAGAAGGCACTTGACAGTAAGAAAGGAGTTGGACCTGGAACAACTGCAATTCGGAACCATCCCTTTTGGATCGGGAGCACGAGTGCATGTTGGCTCGTCAGCGTTTGATGGTTACCAAATCGAAACACTAAATGGCATGGAGCACGATGTGCTTGCTTTCGGATCTGTTCGGGAAGACCCTGCAAAAGTTCTGCCACCTGATGGCTTCCAATCACTGTCTGTGAAGCACCTAAATCAACAATGCCATGTGTGCCTGATGATGCAAAGTGTATGTCATGTGAAATCACGCTGGGTGCCGGGTGATCTTTTTGATCATGCATGTGAGACATCGAGGGACACTTTACATCATGAGACTTTGGCTGCGCAGCATCACGGTGGTTGGCACGGGTGCTCAGTTCATTCCTGAGGGCCATTCGGATGCGTGACATGACATGTGATTTAAATTCCCATTTCTTACCCTTATCATTATCCCACTTATTCCCAAGTTTATTTCCCGTGATTACCCCAAAACATGCGGCTGCACAATCTGGCAAAGGCTCGGGAAGTCTCATCTCAGGCAAATGGAAGATCTCGGGTGGAATCTCTGCTGGCACATCATCAACGACCGCCATGGAAATCGGAACTGTGGATCCATCACTCGGAGGGCCAGTGGATGAGGCTGATTGGCGAAGGCTGCATTCGGCCTTCCAATGACCCTTTTTCCCGCACAGTCTGCACGTAGAATTAGCTATCCTCTGTGCTAGTGACTTACCTTTTCCGCCTCCTTTTCCAAAACCTTTCTTGCCCCCACTTTTCCCTCCTTTTCTCACGGGCCAAAACCCTCTGAATTTGGCACGTTCTGTCAGGCGGCGACGTGCCTCCTGATATGAGGAAAAATAGGCAGCTAGGTCTGCATCACTCTGCACTGCTTCTGTCACTGCGTCCTTAAACTGTACCACCATAGCAGCATCTTCATCATTGTCATTGGCTAACTGTGCTAAGGTTTCATCATCCAGTGGATCATCAACAGTCCAATACGTGTCATGTTCTTCATCCTCTTCTACTTCATCAACATTGAAGGCCAAATGGTCATAGGTTTTCATGTTCCTTTCTCGTTTGGCACCCGTGTAGTCTTGAAAGAAAGATGAACCTAACATGCGTATGGCTGCTACGACCTTCTTCCATTCCAGTTTCTGTCCAATTTGTTCAGCTCCGGACTCCACCAACACGCGCTTTTTGTCTTCACCTGATAGGCGACTGCCACGAAGCAAAACATACGATCGAATCTGATCCATGTCAACGTCCTTGGTCAAAAGCTCAGTCCAAACCACATCAACACGGGCGATGAAACTGTCACCTGTCTCGTCAGGCTTCTGCTGACATCGATACAAGGCCTTTTCCACCAACTCAAAACGATGCTCAAGGGGAATCTGTCCCCAGGTGCCCCCAACCAATTCCACCAGTTTCTGAACCCCTTTACGGTCATTCACCAAGAGGTCCTTTTGATGCAAATGAAGCTTCTGGTAGGCTGATCCCTTTGTGTTGAGGATCAGTCGGGTGATGAGCTCCAGGATTTTGGTCTGGGGCCATGCTTCAAGCAGTAGGTGAACCTTGCTGGACCAAATGTCCACATTGTCACTTGCAGGATCAAACGAAGGCACTAACAGCGCAAGCTGATTCGAGATGGTTCCACCCCCATCAGTTCCAGCCTGTCCTCCAGTTGATTCAGACATGAATTCTGTGGCGCCTGATCGCCAGGTAGCTCCGCTACCAATGTCAGATTGACACTGGTAGCTTGATCACTTCTAATCTGCCACCCAGATTGGAACCCTGTCCAAATGCAGAAACTCCTGTTTTGCCCAATGCGAAGCCACGACCTGCAATCAGTCCAACGCACCCACAGCTGGCCACAGCTGTATCCGCTAAGCGTCACTGATAGCGCTATTGCTCAAGCTAATCCCTCCCTCCAGCCCAGAGGCTGCGGCAACAACTGGTTACTGGAAGAACCCCTTGGTTAAGTGAGGGACTGACCTCATGCACATGTGAACTGGCCTGGCTTTCACAGTATGTGTGTATGTGTGTATGTGTGCATGTGTGCATGTGTGCATGTGTGCATGTGTGCATGTGTGCATGTGTGCATGTGTGCATGTGTGCATGTGTGCATGTGTGCATGTCTGTATGTCTGTATGTCTGTATGTCTGTATGTCTGTATGTCTGTATGCATGCATGCATGCATGCATGTATGTATGTATGTATGTATGTATGTATGTATGTATGTATGTATGTATGTATGTATGTATGTATGTATGTATGTATGTATGTATGTATGTATGTATGTATGTATGTATGTTGTATGTATGTTGTATGTATGTATGTATGTATGTATGTATGTATGTATGTATGTATGTATGTATGTATGTATGTATGTATGTATGTATGTATGTATGTATGTAATGTAAGTAATGTAATGTAAATGTAAATGTAAATGTAAATGTAAATGTGATGTAAATGTGATGTAAATGTAATGTAAATATAATGTAAATGTAATGTAAATGTAATGTAAATGTAATGTAAATGTAATGTAAATGTAATGTAAATGTAATGTAAATGTAATGTAAATGTAATGTAAATGCAATGTAAATGTAATGTAATGTAATGTAATGTAATGTAAATGTAATGTAAATGTAAATGTGATGTAAATGTAATGTAAGTGTAATGTAAATGTAAATGTAATGTGATGTAATGTTGTGTAGTGTATGTATGTACGTACGTACGTACGTACGTACGTATGTATGTATGTATGTATGTATTTGTGTGTATGTGTATATGTTTGTGTATATGTGTATGTGTATGCGTATGTGTATGTATATGTATATGGATATGTAAATGTGTATATATATAGGTATATGTGTGTATGTGCATATTTATATATATATATACATATATTGTATAGCACACCTGTGCACATATCCATTTACACGATTCAATAATGTGTTCGCAACGTACATGAAGGCTGACAGCCACCACGTCAAGTTGCATGACCAGCATAAAGCCCAAGAAATCGAGACCAGGCTCACCCCTGCTGCCTAGATTTACCTGGAGATGTCGTGGGAATCGATGCGTTGATGATGTGATGCTAAGCAGTGTAAGCGTAGAATGGCCATGTCTAGTTTGAATTCAGTTGACTGAAATCTTCTGGACTTGGACTTGCAGACCTGAATCTTCCTTTCACTGCGCCCCAAACTGGCCCAAACTGTTTTGATGAGGCGACATTGCAAGCTATGACTGAGCATCCCACCATGTTGCCGCTGCCTGCGCGGGAGTTGCGGCTTGGAGCCTCCAACTGTCTGTGGGGCATATTATAATACTAGTTTTCACTATGCATCCACCTGTCCATACTATAGATATCTATAGATATCTCCATAGATTCCATAGATGTATGGATGACAAAATATGTATCTGGACAAATGTCAAACACCACCCATAAAGGTGATCAGCCCTGGCAAGGTCCGCTGAGTCCGTTTCCCACAGAACTGGAGGTGTCCTAAAATGCGGGCACCCCCCCAATATCCAAAATTAGACCATTTCAGTATTGAAACCTATGGAAAATGGGAGTTTTGGGAGTCCACCATGACTGAAATCGAAAAAGAAACCCCCAGTTCTGTGGCATTTCCTGGCGCCTTTCTCCTCCAAAACCTCGTTGAACACGGCTTGCAGCAACTGACACTCGCCGTCTGTCATCTCGAAGGAGCGAATGAAGAGGCTCAGCATGTCCTACAGCGCTACAGTGACCAAAAAAGGGGACCTGAAATACTTCAAAAAAGACATAGGGATTGGTCATGATTGAACCATGATCAATTTTCTGATAATGAAAGGCCTGCCTTAAATAGTTGGCCAACTAAATTATAGATGAAATATGCATGCATCTATCAACCAGTTAAAACCCCCGCTGATGGTCTCTGCTTGTTTGAATTCTAGCTGCCTATGTGAACCAGCTGAGATCCACCCCTGTGAAGAGGTTGAAGGCACCCACCTATTTTATGCATTGATACACTATTACGTGATAATATGTGATAATCATAATCGCCTGCAGTATCGTAAATAGGTGTATATATAAAGATATATACAGTGTTTTTCAAATGGGTCTTTAGCAATGTCATAAACATTCATAAATGGTAACCATACCACCTATCATAAACCATGCTAAATATATATTAATTATTATATACGTATAAATGCTAACCATACCACCTATATATATATCATCTGCACCATCCCCCAGTCATTACCATGCCTCGCAGGTCACTGGACGGCTGCCTTCCTCCGTGATGGGCCTGATCCCCATTGGATTTCTCCAATGCGAGGATTTGACACTGTTTAATTTAATACGAGTAAATATTACAGTAACTATGTAGTAAATATTATCTAAATATAAAATTGGATTACACTACATCATATTAAATAATAATTATTTTAAAAGTGTAATCCAATTCCACTGAATTTATATTATCAATTATTATTATATTATACAACCCCTGTGAGGGACCCAAAATGAATATTTTTGGACCAATACTGAACGGGCGTTTTGTATGCATGGCATTTTATCACTTAGGGGAAGGGATTTGTTTTAATGGCTGGGGAAATGCCAACTCATCGGAACCGAAAGATTTCTCATGGGAAAAAGTGTCGGGTGTCCTCTAAATTTAGACAATAAACCAACCTATAAGATTTAACCAGGGTAACCATGGCAACCAACCTATAAATTTAGACAATAATGAAAGATTGGATAATCAAGATTTAAAGAAATAAGAAGATGCCGATTTCACGCCCAAACAAATGCAAGGGTGTCGTGCTGGTGCTACCCCGCACCCAAAAAAAACTGACCAGCAACTGATGAACCTCAAAAACAGCACCCCATCTTAAGTCACCCAAGAAAGAAATGTTAAAAAATGGATACCCTCAGTACCTTCCCCAGTTGGCATTAAAATTGGTGTGAAAGGCTGCCACCGGGCGGCAAGTAGATGCTCAGGAACTCAGCCGCCTCTCGACAGCTGAAATTCAGACTCTGCAGCGTCTTTTGATATACCGAGCCTTAGAGACAGAGCGCATGGTCTGAGCTGGTTTAGCTGATTGCACCATCATTGACCCTGCCAAAGCAGCTGCAACACATCACAAACCGACCAAGATCTGGAAAACAGAGACATATGACATATGTTTTTCAGGAATAGGCCAAGACGCAGTGGTAAACATCACTCTCGTCCTTGATCTTTCGAGTCACCGCCAGCAGCCTTGTGACATCAGCCAAGGAGATTCCCACTAGTTGAATCGTTTTGGGTTGCTTTTTGATTATTAAAAACTTTATGAACAACTTTTGTTGTCATTCAAAATTCCCGATGGTTTCAATGGGGGTTCCCAATGATTCTCTGAAATTCATGGACATTGACCCAAAAAATTCCCTGCGCCACTGCGCCAAGAGACGCCATCAAATCCGTGGCAGGACTCTTGTCGGCGTTCGCCTCCTTCAGTAGCTTGACCTTGGTGCAGGTTCCTGTGATAAAGTACCACCATCCTGAGTTCTTACATCTTTTTACTATATGCTAAAATGATAAACTACTGGCACCACAAAAATGGTAAACTATTGGCATCATATATACCATTAGCAAGTCAGTTAACTAGTCGTATCAGCTACTGGGATAACATTTTAGTCATTTTCTTAAAAAATGCTTACTAAAATATACTAAAATGATATCAGTTAACTACTGGTAATTTAACGTAGCTATTGAAAATGGCTATTTATAGTGGATTTTCCCATTAAAAATGGTGATTTTCCATAGTTATGTTAGTTTACCAGAGGGTAACTACTGGATACTACTGGTATCTACTTGCTAACCGCCATGCTCCAAGATCCAGTCGTAGTCTCAGAGTCCCAAGAGTTGAATAACTCAGTTTTAGCCATCCCAATGTCAGCAGGATGCTGGGTTTTCACATGTCTTAACCACAACCATTTGGGTATGTCTGAAAATGGGGTATACCCCCAATGAAATAGCCATAAAAAGTAGGGATAATGATCAGCAAAACCATTGGGTGTAGGGCTACACTATTTTCAGACAAACCCATTTTTAAAGGATGGCACTGCCATGTCATGGGCCTTGCGCTAAGGGGTCTAACAACGCCGCCAACCCAGTGGTCAGCTTCGACCCCAGGCGATTCGCCGAGGATCGCAAGTTAGCTGCCGGCCTTCAGCGGCAAAATGTGCTCTGTTGGCACGTCAGAAGTTGGTCAAAAGTATTTGGCTTCCAAGAGGCACATGAGTCACATGAGGCAAAGATTGTAACATGAGCTTCACTTTCAAAACTTGAGATGCAGGACGAACTCCCACTTCCCTGTATTTGTTTTGGCGCCAATAACCGTCGCACCAATGCCATGTGCATCGTAGGGCCCTCCTGCGTCAGATCCAGACACAGAAAGCTCGGGTTTCCAACCCCACTTCTTTTCACAGTTTTGCAGCACACAACTGATGGCAGTGTGCAGCGATAGGTCAAGACTACCCACATTGGAGATGTCGATGTGGTGCTTTCCGAAACATGTCTCCGTGAAGTGGATGAGGTCAGTCTCCTGTTCTGATGTAGCATCCCCACGGTGCAAGCTGTGCACAATGACGCTTTCCGATCCTCCCTCCTGAGATTCTCCCGCCTGAGAGGGGGTACTGTTGCTGCCATTGCTGGCAGTATTCTTCAGGATGAACTGCCACTTGCCAGAAGGCGTGTCAACTCCGATGATAGTTGTGCCCGTCCCCATAGCCATCGTAGGGACCACCATTGTTCGAACCAGAGCCGACAAGGTCCGGCTTTTAACCCCATCCACGTTGATCAACACACAGCTTGTGGCATCTCCAAGGGAGCCCTGCAAACCTCCCACGCCATTGCTGGTATCCACCGGGTTCCAGCTGAAACAAGTCTGATGCATCTCTCAACAGCATCTGTTGCTGAGAACTGTCAACCCACCCTTGTTGCAGCACGCACTGATGTCAGTCTTGCGACTGAGGAATTCATCGCTGCCCAACACTGGGTAAATGATCAATGGCAAAATGCACTTCATTCAGAAGTCAGGGAGGGACTGACTAGTTGCGACCAGCGGCAAAAGGGCCTCTAAAGCCGAAAATGCGGGTCAAAACCAGCTGTCTGCCTTGCAGTGTCATGAATGGGTGAAGATCAATCACTTAGAACCTTTGCCATCAAACAACTGGAAGTCTTGCCAAAGCTTGCATGCTATGGACTATGGATTGGTTGAACAGTTCAAAGGAAAACGACCTTTCAAGGCACTCCAACTCCAACACCAAGCAAGTTAAGTTGCTCAAAACACGCCCCACATGTGCTCAACGAGCTTGCACCCCGTGTTTTCAGCTTTGCGTGTCAGATTCAAACATCAACAGTGGCAATCACCCAAGCTATGGCTATCCTCTCAGCAAGCCCTTCAGGAGTTGTTTCAGTGGTGGGCGCCAAATATCAAAGACCTCAAGCTGAAGATGATCGGAGATGGGCTGGAGAATCAAGGGGCCAGGGAAAGGCCTAACTGATAACTGCCTTGAACCAGTCACAATCAAATGATTCCTAGTTCTTGTTGTTTTACTTGAGCATGTTGGGTTCACACGATTTCACCGCCCCCAAAAAAAAATCACTGGCAGAACCGGCAAAGAGCTTAGGAAGTCCTACTGTAAATATGTAAATTTATACATTGATGTGCGTTGCCTTCGGGGACCCCGTTGGCAAAATTAACTTGTCGCCTTATGAGGGTCACAAATGGGACCCACAAGTAAGCAAATCCAAAAACAAACCACGGTTTCTGAGCATGTCTAATGGAAGGGGGTTCTAATGATTCAGATGTCAAAACGGTTCAGCCATCCTCCGGGAATTCAACATGGCATACCGGAAAATCCATCCTTTGGTTCGATGATCTTCCTAGCTATAAACCTCCATTTATATGGGAGTTCCCCAATTTTTTCCATATATAGTTTCCTATGTTTTCCCATATTTCTAGGGGGAAGCCCAGCTTGCCATGTTGACACTGTGAAACGGGCTCCAAGAGACCGAGGTCCAAACACCTGGGCCGTCCATGATGCCTGCAGCATTGGAGGTCTTGACGACCAGTTGATTCGCGCCAGCTGGGATGGGAACTCCCAAGGTGCCATCGCTTTCCTCGGGGCTGAACTGTTGAGCCATGTTCGCTACCCAGCTACCCTCTGGTAAACATACAAAAAAACTATGGAAAATCACCATTTTCAATGGGAAAATCCACTATAAATGGCCATTTTCAATAGCTATGTTAAATTACCAGAGGGTACTCCCATTTTACTTTTACATCCTGAAAATCATCCAAGGAGCTCGCAGGGATGGAAAGCCAACATGAGTGAATTAATAAATAATTAGCAGTTGGCACCACCCAGCAGTGATGTTTTCTGAGGTCCACAAAGCATCCATCCATCCAGAAAAACAACACGCACAAAGATCCAGAATATCCATGAAATTCTATGGGATAGGACCAAATTCACAGTGCAGCAATTGCACACCCAACATGAAATGGCCACTGTTCAATTGTTCAATACTAACATCAGCTTCCCAGCAACCGACAAGATTGCCTTAGCTTGTCAATAGACAGACCACCCACAAAATGCAGAGAAAAGAAGGCCGAAGCCAAGTTCCACCTTTCCCATTTGGATCTTGAAGCCTTTGTCCCCTCAAGGTCGAAATAGACTCTTTCCAACGGAAGAATATACCCTCTCTCCCGGCCGGTATGCATATATCACGTCGGTGTGTGTGTATATATATATATATTTATCATATATCATATATCTGTGTGTGTGTGTCAACTCCTGTGCTCTAAGGACTTCGCAAGCGCCAATTTCCTTCGTTTCCGTTATTTCGCAACCATCCAGCATGCTAGAAATAGAGAATAGAATTTGACGACGGCAAAGAAGACGGCGAAGGTACCAAAAGAGAATGATCATTTCAGAGAAACATGTTTTGCCCGTGGCGGTTTGCATTTCAGTGTCGCGCGTTTCCAAGAAATTGGATCAGTTTTGAAGAGCGTCTACGCATTCAAAATGTATACATTTAATGTATATATATAGACCATGAGATGGTGAAGTCAGGAAGAGGATGGGCGCGGAGAAGCGCACGATTTTGCGCATTGTGTTTTGCGTGGAGAAGTCCAAAAAATGACAACTTCAGAGGTACTTCCGGTGTTCCCACGCAGCGATTTTCGTTAGGATGTTTTCAACTTTCGAGCATGCAGGGGGTGCCAGGGATCATTGCAAGTGTATACAAAGACACTTGCTTTGATCTGTGATATCAGAAAGGGACGACTGTCTGACGTACCTGCCCATTTGAAACTGTTAATCAAGCTGTTGCAGTCAAGCTGTTTAGGTACATGGAGTCAGGTGCTCTTGTTTGTGTCCCTGGCATCGAAGGCCACTTAGGAATACAGGTCAGAATATACAGTGCGTACTTCCGGGTATTGGACCTTACTTGTTTTCACTGCAATCTTCTTCACGAAATGCAGTAACGTTTTTTCAAGGAAGTAGGTCTGAAGCAGAAGAACAAGCAAACAGAGGAACTGCTTAACTCAAGCCTGTTTACAGCTCAATTTGCGACCCTGATCGTTCATCTGAAGGTGACTGGGATACCAGCGTGTGTGTGTGTGTCAAATATATTATATAGATATATTGTATGGATGCCTGTGTGTGGGCAGAAGTGCTTGCCATGTGGTGGTTGCACCAGTGCTTTGGAACATGAGTAGCTGTCAAAGATTATATCACAACATACTTCAACACCAAGCTTCGGATGCCAAATGATGCTGATAGATGCCCTTGGGCAATGCTATAATGAGATCCATGGTGCTCTGATTCGAAGCCCAGAAGATGTTGTAGTGCGTCACATCCGATTCGTTCCTGTGAGATGCGTTCAGCACTAGAAGCTGGCCTTCCTATCTGATTGATCGGTTCATTCATCCCACTCCGGAAAATAATATTGTATCAAATCATTCAAAACCTGAGGTAGGGGTGACGTGAAACAACTAACTTTATCTAGCATTCGGATCAGCCTGAGCACGTAGTTTACGCATGAGGAGTTCTCCTGAGTTTCCATGGTTGAATCAGCCCCGGGGCTGAAATCTTAGGGGGCAGTGCAGTCCAGATGCGCGGCAGGGCCAACTTCGATGGTCCCCTTCACGAAGCCTTTTCTTGGATCTTCATCACTGAACTGGATCCATTCCTCGCCAGAAACTGCGGCTTCAACTGGCAGTTCGCCATAGCAATTTGGGTGTATCAACATGTTTCAACAGGCATTTTGCGGGGATAGTTGGGCAACCTGCCACCAATTTCCAGCTTCAAAAAACCCAGGCTCCGCATGGTGCTCGGGTCTGGCCATCCCTTCGCCTCCTACATTGGAGCCCAGCCCACTGCTAATCTCCACATCGGCCGCCACGATTTCTCGCAAGGCGTCCTGCTTAATGGCCTTCTCTTTAGCCTGGGTGGAACCAGTTTTCAGCAGTCGCTTTCATCCAAAAATTCTGGCTATTCTCCGGCTCTAAGATTAGAAATATGTATGTTGAGGGGTGATGAGGGATGGCAATCATGAGATATCATAAAACAAAACTTATACCCTCCGGTAATCTAGCATAGTTATAGGAAAGTGCCATGTTTAATATCTAAATTGTCTACAAATGTTCGATCCAATCTGATCCAGGCATCTGCCCATGCCAGGTCTGCAGGCGAAACTTTCTGGTATCCTTGGGCGATGGCAATTCAAATGATGCAACTAGAAAAAACATGGGAAAAAAGGAGGATGGTTTGGTTTCCTAAGTTTGCTTTGCCTTACAGTGCCTTACAGTTTCATGCACATTCGCTACGGTATGAATGTGGACAGCTGAGGAACAGAAGTTGATTGAAGATCCGATAAGAATGAGACTCTCTCTCGCTCAAAGCGACGAATCTCCTTGCGGGTCCATCTAAGCATGAGGGATGCTCCAGTTTATTTCATACTTCAGCGGAAGATGAGATAAACTTTGATAAACCCTGGGACTTTTTGGCATGCCTATGTCCAAACAAACCCACGTTGTCACCCCCACTGGTCCCAGTCTCTCATCTGCAACTGCGGCAGGCTGGTGCTAACCACTCCACCTGTCTGCGCAGTCTGCGCAGTCTGCGCAGACTGCGCGGCAGCGGCCACAACGGAGGCCTTCCAGGTTCCATCGTCGGCAGTTTCGGAGCGCTGAAGGGACAATTTCACCTGCAACAGCCGCAGATCTCCTGCATCGGCACAACCTGCCAGGGGTGGCCACAACTCTCTCTCTCTCTCTCTGTCTCTCTCTCTCTCTCTCTCTCTCTCTCTCCATCGCCCTCAGGTCTCCCTGCCCGCTTGAAGTCGCTTAAGACCATGAACTCAATTGTAACTGATGGTTAGTTGAATCATGTTAAATCCACATGAAACACTGTAATTGATCAACTGCTCCCTAGATTTCAAGCCGCCCCGGTGGACCTGGATCTTCCTCAAGGCCCTGGGTGATTTCAAGCGCCTGAACGAGGCAAGATGCTGCCGTCAGGCAGCCCAGGATGGAAAAACGAGACATCGACCTGGACAAGGGCCATGGGGCACCGTCTGCTGGGGAAGCTATCTATCTACATCCGTTCTTGACTCGATCTTCCCATCCTATCTTAGCCTATCATAATTATCAGCTCTTATCCTATATTATGTGCATCTTTCTGATCTCAGCTGCTCTTATCTGATCTGATCTGCTCTTTGCTGATCTTGTCCAACTAGTCTAAATAATCTGACAAAAAATAATTATATGATCTACAGTAACCAATTCAGCTAATTCAACTAGAAACACTAATTAATCATGACCTACCTACCTACCTACCGACCGACCGACCGATCTATCTATCTATCTATCTATCTATCGATCGATCTATCTATCTATCCAATCCAGTTCAGTCCAATCGAATCAAATCAAATCCAAACCAAACCAATCTAAGCTCATCTAGTCTGAGATCTCGCTTAACCTCACCTAATTTAACCTAATCTAAATCTAATCTATTAGTGTGATTTATCTATATTATGTGTCTATATGTGTATATCTAATGTGTGTGTTTGTGTATTTGTGTGTGTGTGCGTCTATGTATTTCTTGAGAAAGTGCATATGTCAGATTGTATATTCATACATCTATGCATACGTGTGAATATGCCCTATATAGATGTAGATGGATATTTGCATATGTACAGTCAAACGACAAACTCATGCCTAACTCAAGCCTGGGTCAAAACTTGCCAATAAATCACCATGGAATCACTGTTTCAAGAAACTCATGCCTAAGTCATGCCCAAATATTAAAACACCATGGAATCGCGTATGTATAAGAAGAATGTTACTCTTGATTTTAAACACAACCTAAACGCAAGATTTGTTAACAATATGGAAAAGGTACTCTTGATGCTAAACACAACCTAAACGCAAGATTTATTAACAATATGGAAAAGGTACCCTTGATGCTAAACACAACCTAAACGCAAGATTTTTTAACAAAAACTATTCCAAAGACCAAATCCAACAAAACATTGCAATTCCTATGCGTTTTACTAAAAAGGCACGACTTTTGAAATCAAGTGTTCCCCAGCTATTTACGACGATTTCCAAATTTTAGGCACGACTTTAGCATTCCACTGTAAGTATGTAATGCGTAAATATATATATATGTGTATATATTATGTATATATATATAGATATAGATATACGTAGATATATATATATATATGCGGGTATATACGCAAAAATCCCTGGCAAGTGAGCGATAATCAAAGGCCGTTCTTGGGAGAGAGACAAGTAAGAAAGAAACAAGTGCACTACAATTGTTCAATAATTTTAAGGGTCTTATACCCATGTTGTTGTTGATGGTGATCCCCACTTCTTTCTCTACACCAACTTTGATTGATTGTTCTTGCTTGGATCTGGATCTCAAAAACAAGGAGAAACGCTCCGGCTCAGGATCATGATGTTGAGGGGCCTTTATTGTCAGCCCACCGAGTCAATCATCATCTTCCCTCCAGCACATCCTAATGCCAGTGCCAAATGTGCCAACTATCATCCTTACGGTGCAATCAGGGCACGGAGAATCACAGCGCTGCGTTTCACCTCCTTCCGATGTTCATTTCTCAAAAAATGTGAAACCGTGAACGGTGCAGTGCCGGAACGCCCCCAGGGCCACAAGGTCTTGAGCCGAAATCCCAGCCACGAGCCCAGAATGTTGGCCTATGCCACCCCCATCTCCGCACATAGACACGTCTTGTGCATCCCATCACAAAAACACCCCGTTATGTTTCTGTCCACTCTTGAAAGGTTCACTGGTTACGAAATGAGTGGTACAAACTCCAGACTCAGACCAATGACTTTGCGCATCCAAGCTCGAAAAAAAATCGCATGAGACGAAGCAACCCATGAAATCCAGTATATTTATGTATATTTAACAGTTTGATTGGAGGGAACCCTTCCATCTGCCTCTCTCCAAATTCCCAAGCCAGCATCCATGAATTCCAAGTTGCCAAGATTGGGCGAAACTCCGGCATGTGCGATTGGTGCGGGAACAGCGTCTCCACCAAACGAGCCAGTTCATACCTCTCTGCTTATTCACATCCCATGTCGATCCGCTGAATATGATGATACATATGCATTCATATGCATCATATGCCTATCCTGGAAAAGGATTTCAAGGCTCCCAAGCATTCCCTGAAAGGTATCGTCTGCTCAATGGTTTGGGATTTGAATGGTCCATAGCCCCCGGCAACCGGAGAGAATCTCCGTCAGCGGTTGCCCAATTCTTCCCATCACTCAGCCAGCTCCGCCTTCTTAGCGTTCCGTTGCCCTCCTTGTCGCTGCGGTTGAAGTGGCACCTGGAGATCTGTGGACCCCATGATCCGATGTCCATCAACTTGAGCTTCATCAACGGCTGACCCTGTCCCTGCCTTAAAGTTTCATACTCCGCCACGGTGAAGCAGTAAAATTTTCGGAGGAACAGCAGCCGATCCTCCTGGTATTTGGAGACCCGTAGCCTGAAGCCGCCAAGGTCGTCAGAAATTCAATGTATAATTCATTGGTCACAGTGACAAGGGCAAGGTCATACATATACTCTTGGGGGCACCACCGATTTTATGGTGTACATCCAGCTGAGGCATGAGGCATCTTCACCTCACGCTCCTTGCGATGCTGTCCAGTCGTTCCAATGCAGTCTGGACGCAGAAATCTTTCCAACGTAAAGTCCTTCTCGTCCTCAGCCACCCAAAGGCCCAGTGTGCCTTTGGGATCCTCTCCAACCATCTGCTGACATTTTAGAATGCCCAAGATGAGCCATTTACAAGCGCAAAAACCAATCAATGCGCACCCACGCTTTTCTATGGCAATTCACATCTACAAGCTGAAAATTGCGATGATTTGTTCCATTGACCCTCCAATTTTCAAGCATTCTCCCCAATTTGTGTGTATATCAAAACCTCCAAGTGTCTTGTTGTTTCCCCATTCGCTCTCACTCAGCCCTCCATTTGTTTGATTTCTCGTAGGTGTTTTCCTCCATGTTTCCCGAAATTCCAGATGGGTTCAATTATATACTTATACCGTACTTATACCATCTTAGAACCATTTGCAGAGAGAGAGAGAGAGAGAAATACTCTATATATGTATATATATATATATATGTGTGTATATATATATATGTACATATATATATATATGTATATGTATACATCTCTCTCTCCCTCTATAGATAGATAGATAGATAGATAGATAGATAGATAGATAGATAGATAGATAGATAGATAGATAGATAGATAGATAGATAGATAGATAGATAGATAGATAGATAGATAGATAGATAGATAGATAGATAGATAGATAGATAGATAGATATACATGCACAATAGAATCCCAGCTGCAACTTCAACCCATCGCCTATTGCCGTGGCACGGGCCCTGGCAGGTGATGAAACTCCGCCAGGTCAATGGTGGACAAGGCCTCCAGCTGCTCGGAGGGCTCCAGGACCCCTGAGCGCCTGGACGGGCGAGGCCCCGAGGCCCCGGTGAGGCTGGGTAAATTGTCATATTTCACTGACCTGAAATAAAGATAAAGCCAGATATACAAATACATGTGTGTATGTACAAATATTAGGAGAATTATCCCTAACCATCATCTAAGGTGAGGTCGCAGTGAGGTTCTTCTAATTCATTATAATTCACTATGTATAATGAATCAATATGATACGAATGTATCTGCATGATTCTGCATGTATGGAGTTTCGCATTGTGCAGCTTGGACCCAGAATGGTCAATGAATTTGGGGCCATAGGCATCCACCCATCGCCGCGGCACGACTCATCAGCTGCGTGAAAGGCAGCCACCGCGGCGTGGCGGTCGAAGTCGCGACACTTGCGGACCAACTTCACAAACCTTGGGTCTGGATGGGGGTTGGGTCAAATATCTATTAACTCGTTTAATGTCAATTATATATATATAGTATTAAATGTCTACAATTAAACTAATATTTGAGTACTATTGACTAATATGCATTCACCAATCCACCCCAATTTGATATCATTGTTAAATCATATCATATGAACTTGGCGATAACCTATAACCATAAAAAGAAAATAATATACTAATCTTACATACTTGGATTTAATATGACTTAATGAGGTACGTTGGCTATATCAATAGATTCCAGTCAGAGATTTGATCACCACATCTTAGCAATCTTTTTGGGGAAACAGAAAACCACTGACCCATCAATCGGGTGATTTAAGCATCAAACATTGGGGAGTTGACTGTGTTGACTATCCAATGTGGATCAACTTTGTAAAACAAAATGGGTCGGAAATTGTGCTCTGTTTCAATGGAAAAATGCTTCAGGATGCCCTGAGTTGGCGATCCAGATTGGGATGGCCAGTCTGCATGGTGATTGGGGGTATCAAAGGGTGAGAAGATCCGAGATTTTTTCGAACAGGTATATCCATATGGGATACCATTTATATCCATTTATATCCATTTATTGGGTGTCATATATTCTTAATGTTTAGGTTTACCACATGTTTTTTCAAAGTCGATGGCCAGCGACTAGCAACTATCTATGGCATCAGGGTCACTAGGGACCTTGAATGATGGAATGAATTCAATTGATGATAATTAATTATCCAACCATATCCAACCCATTAATTATAATCAATTGAATTTCCATTAATCATCCTCAATTAATGGAAACTGAATCAATCAATACCAAGTGGAATCCAACCCAAGAGATTGGATACCAACGGGCATGGAGTTGAACCAAGAGATGGGAGATCACCAAACAGAAATGGAGCATCCTCCGTTTCGCGGGATAAGCTGGCGGAAGTGGCTTGAGACACCCCGGCACTGGGACGGAAGACTGGGATTCGTCTGGGATCATCCTACCCACCCGGGAATGGCTGGCTCCTAGACCGATCAAAGTTGGGGCGTGTCACATGTGCGATGACCGTTTGACCATTTGACCAACTTCAATTGTTTTGATGTCCACTGGGACTGGGTCTTTTGAAAATGCCTCGAGCACTCAGGTTACTCAGGTTCAACCGTCATTTTTCCACCAATGTCCTCCCCAAAGCTTTCCAGCTTGACTTCACAGCTAGGCCCAGCTTAACGCTTTCCGCACCAAGCAACGTGGTGTAGTCCAACTGGTCTCCCATGGGATCGGCCTCATAGATCAGTTGTTGTGCCCGGTCGAAGGTATAGCAATGGCCAAGCCACCTGAGAACCTAGCGATGAATGTTGTCCCGAATCTGCTATATCGTAATATACAGTATCCCGTTGTCATTGCAGATTCAGGGTTTCTATCGGAAAACGGTTGGCACAAAAAAACATCCAAAAAAAACGCCGCCTTGTGGTGGCATCTAGTTCACATATGTTCAAGGGACGACATAGCTGGATTTTTTCCGGCGTGAAAGCTTCAAGCCGCTATGAATGGTTGCTGTTGGGTTGTTGGATGACTGCTATAGCTGCTATGATGATCCAACCAACTCTAGGGACCAATGGGAGATTGATTACAATTGACAAAAACATCTAGCCAGGAAGTCCACGAAAGCATCAAAAACATATCGGAAGAATCATTTCCATGGCATAGACTCTGATTGGAGATACCCTCCGATCATCAAACGTTCAAACGTGGCAATGGAAAATCACTCATTTACAGATATTTAAAAATTATAAATGGATATTCTCCATATTTAATGGATATTTTCCATATTAAATAGATATTCTCCATATTAAATTGATATTTTCCATATTGGATTGATATTTTCCATATATATATATATTCCATATTAATATATATATATATGTGTATAATAGTTGGTTTTTCATGATTTTCCCATTAACAGCTCTATTCTCGTGGATTTCCCAGCCATGCTTGGTCCCACGTCCTAGCGCCTTGTGCAACACGGAGGTCGGAATCCTGGCATCCCACGGGATGATCAGAAATGTTCGTAAGAACTATGCCATGTGATATCTACATATCTGGATATATATCATATAATATAGGTAAATGCTGGGTGATATATAGATCATAGATCATATAGGTAAATGATAGTAAATGATGGTAAATGATGGTAAATGATGGTAAATGTATGTAACATACCCTGCAGGCCCCACAAAATGCGCTCAAGAGCCCCGAAAGTTAAAACCACCCTTTTTTCCCTTCATCAAACCCGCACGACACACTCGGAAATTTGGAAAGAAAAAATATAAGAACCCTTTTGCTTTCTTCGTAAAATTTCACATAATTAAGGTGATTCAAAAAAATGGAAATCCTGTTGAAATTATATGACTATCATATTACTAGGCCTCAGCCCAGCCTGCCTTTTTCCGACATGAAGCTGAGGATTTTGGACTCTGATGGTTCAGAGTCTCCTGTTAAAGAAACGTGAAATTCATCTCTTTGAAACATTGGTCTCCATGGAAGGAGATCTCCTTAGGATTTCATACCTCCCCCATGGAAGGGGTTTTCTTTGTGGTGTTTTTGGTCCATGGAAGGACGACCACGAAAAAGAAAATCATGCATTGAAACGGTGGTTCTCCCTCGGCCTCAAAAAGGGCGGTGAGGGTTTGGGTGAGCACAAAAGCTCTTGATATCAAAACGACATCGTCAAAACGTCTGGCTTCTGCCTAGTATTCAAACAGAATGCCTAGGCCTCAGCCCAGCCTGCCTTTTTCCGACATGAAGCTGAGGATTTTGGACTCTGATGGTTCAGAGTCTCCTGTTAAAGAAACGTGAAATTCATCTCTTTGAAACATTGGTCTCCATGGAAGGAGATCTCCTTAGGATTTCATACCTCCCCCATGGAAGGGGTTTTCTTTGTGGTGTTTTTGGTCCATGGAAGGACGACCACGAAAAAGAAAATCATGCATTGAAACGGTGGTTCTCCACGGCCCCTACCACGAGCTGATGACAAAAGCAGCTTGTAGAGGACGAAAAAGTGATACTTGGCCCTAGTCACGGAGTCTTAAGCTGTTCTGAACATGACCACTGCTTTAGCATGCTACGAGCTTTGGCGCTAAAAGACAACCCTGGTAAGTAGCTGAGCCCATCAGCCAAATATATTTTGGCTACTTTCGTTGATTGCCAGCGTCCTTTGAGCAATGCAGTCTCCATACTGCCTGTTTGTTGAAATAATGCCGTCGCTCCACCCCTTCTTAACGAATAGGGTCGAAAGTTTAGTTTCAAGACATCAAAGATTTGACAGTGATACCTGAATTCGTTGCGGAAGCTTGAGGGGGATCTAACCCATATGGGTACCTTATGCATGCCTTGCGCTTGTTGGTCCTCTGAGGCTGCACGGAGAATTTCCAGCGCCACTACATTTGTTATGCTGACAGTTTCCTGCGCTGCATTTCTGAGTCCTGTTTTGGTGTTTTTCAGACTTATAACGCCGCTCTTGTTTCCTAAGATCATGTCGCATGGTCTGATCTGGAGCAGTTCACCCGTCCGCAGCAACCCATAGAAACCCAAACAGATCATTGCAGCGAAGCTTAGGTTCCTATGGGCTATGGCATAAAATAAAAAGGCATCCACTATTTCAGCTGTCAAAGGTGGAGCCCGATTGGGGGCTTCCACCTTTCTCCATACTTTAAACAAACGCCATGACAGTGCCAGCTTGTTCTTTGTCCATGGTTCGTAGTGCTGAAGACCACACAGTGCATCACTTATGATATGTAGTGCTTCCCCCTCTTCCCAAGCTTTTTGTATCCAATCAGAGACTCTCTCATCAAGGGCCCTTCCAGTTGTGACCCCACCTAGGTATGGTAATAGTTTCTGTACCCCGATGAAATACCTTTCCTGAGTTTTCTTTGTGATCGCGGCATCCCACAGTAGGATTTTTCTGCGATCTGCTACTCTTTCAGCCCGTGTTTTTCGATGGAAGCATTGCCACCGTCCTGCTGGCCTCATCTGTAGGATTGTCAGTGCTTTCCACGTGCGAGATGATGCAATGAATCCCAAAAGCCAGTAAAAGTGCGTTGACCTTCTTGAGTACCCGAGAAAGCTGTCTGCTGCTGGTGCGTCCCTTCGAGATCACGCTCATGCAGATATAGCTATCAGTCACATGGAAGACCCTAAGATGACAAGCTTTTAAGTGCATGATGTGGTATCTGATTGCATGTAGAATGGTCCGCAGTTCCAAAACGTTGATATGTTCACTTAATTTCCACTTGTAATTAAACAAATGCTCCCATTTCCACCATGACGCTTCAATGCTCTGCCGTACAACTGCCTTAGGGTTGAGGAACTCCCCCGTAGAAATTCGTACATCAGATCCAGTGTGATTGGTCTTGGAAAGGAGAATTTGGTTTAAGCTTTTAGTAGTCACAGGCCGCGGTATAGTGGAACTTCCATATTGCAACCTCCGCCTAATTGGTGCCGTGCATCTGAGTGAACAAGTGAATCCTGGAGCCAACCCCATTCTGTCAACTAACTGACTGTACTGCAATGTGGGTAGAAGGTGTTTGCACAATGCCGCTGCTGGGATGATGAAGGAGAAGACGCTAAAGCTATCCCCCAATAAACACAACCGCTCATCTTCGTATTTCTGCCCCGAACTCTTGATTTTGGAAGCACTGAAACACAGTTTGGTGTGGTTAAAACCGTAACCCAAAAGTAGTTCCTTCTCAGAGCTATTGGCAAGCCTCCATTTGTCATCCGTCCAGAAAATAAACCTGGGTAAATAGTGATATGGGGGAAAACGGTAACTGTCAGAGGTCCAACGTGCCAATGTGTCTGTATCACACCTGTGTATGCCCGCCGGAGCTGGTGGCGGCCTTTTTCGCTCAATGCTCTTTAGCGCAGTAGGCAGAGTATAGCCTTCATCTCCACCGGGCCACCACGCGCCTTCAGTTATCCAGTCAGCTTGCTGTGGATACGCGGCTGGGGCAGAAACAGTAACCCAGTACTGCTCTTCGCTGAAAGTTATTCCTCCGAGGCAGCCCTCAAGACATTCGGATGTCCAGCATAACCTGGGTCTCTGCATAGGCACAGCATCCGCACAGTTGAGATGGTATGGTTTCACCTGCAGTTCTTCAGTTATCCGTTCACATTCGTGCTTGGGCATTGACGCCACATTCTCAGCTATGAACTTGACCTTAACATGTCCTATCTCCTTGAGCTCCTTCAAGACCCGCTTCAGTTCATAGAACAGAGATGATTGCGGCCCATCCAATCCCTGGCCTCTGACATTGACCGATGATAGGTCTACACATGGAAAGCCTCCCCATACGTGCAATTCAGTAACTGTGGGATATCTCATGAGAAGTTGTTCCAGTTGTGCCTTGTTCAGTTGTCTGACATCTCCAAAAAGCTCTGCATGGGGCCACCGACGGGAAGTGATTCTCATTGCAGGTTGGTGAATGTCAAAGGCCACCAGCGCATCAGGTCGGATTCCCAGCACGTCGTAAGCTCTAAATGACCCTCCTATTGCATGAAACAGTGACAACACCATGATGCCCGTGGGCTGGGGGTTGTCAGCTCTCAAATTGCTCCTCACAAAGTCTTCTCCTTCGCTGCTGAGTTGTGTTGCGATACCAACCGCCCCTCCAATGCTTGAGGCGTCACTGGCAGTTATGACCTCTGAAATCTCAGCTCCCAGGAATGTGTGCATCATAGGTAGTCCACACATACAAGCAAACAATTCTCGGCGAACTTTGTACTGGAGGTCCAGTAGCGTCCCTTTTGAGCTAATAAACTCCCAGGTACTCTCTAAAAAACTCATGGCTGGTCGCCGATACTGAAACACATGTATCCATCTTCCAGCTATGACCTGCAGTAGCTTTCGTGACAACGTTCTCCTGCTCAAGAGTGCCATAGTTCCCAAAAGTAAGTTGATCATCCTCTCTGGCGAGGGGCCCATTGTGCGCTCACTTCCATTCAGATATGCTCCCAACTCTTGTCCAGTGATTTCTCCTGATTTTCGCTTCTTTGCCGCTGACACTACTCCAGCAGCTGCCCACAACCGTTCAGCCTCTTGGTGAATAATCTCACCTGAAAGAAAAGTGCTCCCTGATTTGTCAATCTCCCCTGCTGCAAAATTGTCCAGGTATATATGCCACCACGCTCGCCCAGACGTGCGAGATTCATCCAATAAACCAACCATCCATTTCGGCAGCGGTTTACCCCTGACTACTTGGCTACATTCCGGCATGTTGCCCCCTAACAAGAGTTTCTCACTTACTTCCTGCATGATTGAAACTGAGCTTCCCCAGCCCATTGGAAGTACACAACATGCCAAGCAAAATAAAGTTTGATCATCTCCTCCATAAATCTCGCAATGTTTGTGTACAACATTAAAAGCCAGAAATCTCTGCCATTTCTCCGGAAGCCGAAACAGATAAAATGCATTTGACATGTCACTTTGCCATAAACGCAGTTCTTCTCCATGTTCAACGTAGGTAGACAGCCAGGAAGTTATATGAGGAAGCCGTTTTGTGAACCCTTTGAACTGTTTGAGAATGGAGTTGCTGGGCACCAGGTTCATGATTAATCGCAAAATGGGTTTCTTTCCATCAACAAGCCCACTTTTTTCCACGCCAAACAAACCATTAAGGACCTTCTCTTTCCTAAACTCAGCAACTTGTGTCCAAGGTATCCAAGTGCACACCCCTCGATCAACCAGCTCCGCCGCAATTTTCTTAATCTCATTCCCCTGAACGTGGATTTTTCCCTGTAGCTTTGGCAATTGCTGACCCACATCTTCAACAACCAGTTTTTCGGGATTATCAAGGAAGTGCTTGGTGGTCTCCGAAACATACTCCAACACGTCAATAGATCCCCCATGTTGTTTTGGTGGTAAGGCCGGCAAAATTTGCTCCAAACTTAGGCAGTGACAAACTCCTATTTCTTCCCCCTCATAACTAACCCTGCGCTTCTTCAACTCTTTTTCAACCGCCTCAGTGTCTTTCACCTCCGCATGGCCGTGGCTTAACATCCTATTGACAGTCTGTTCCACGGCAGCCACCAGTCGAGTCTCCAGTGCAGTCCACTTTCCCTTCAAAAAGGGAGTGTGGCCATGTCCTAAAGTCTGGCAGGCATAACATGACAGCATGGTCCAGGCAGTTCGACTCCACAGGCTTGTGAAATCCTCGGTAACCGAGTCTGTTAAATTCACACTTGCAAAAAGCCGTAGTGCTGAGGCAAAATCTCCCTCGTGCAAAGGAAAGATGGCACGCTTGCGAGCCACCCTGTGCTTCATGCCGGGGGTGAAGAAGTCCCTCACCTGAAAAACCGTGTCATGCAACTCTGTAATATTGCAGCCGTGAGCCAGGCACCATGCCAGCGCACATCCACTCCTTTTCAAGGTTGTGCAGCAGCTCAGCACCTCACTCCAACCTGTGGTTGAAACCAAACTGGGCCTCTTGCTCTCGACGGATTTTTCCAGAGAGCCACCCATCACTTGTCCCCTGGTGTCTCCTTGCTCTTGGCCCAGTCCGAGGTTTTCTCGTCCCAGGTCCCTTGGTTGCCCTTGTGCTTTCCTTTCTTGCCGCGATCTTTGCCCTTTCCTTTCTCGCCCTTGCCAGCGTTGCTGAAATCGCCGGACCCTTTCCAACCGCCTTTTCCACGACCTCGCGCTCCCCAGCCCCAATTGCCCCATGCCGGAGTTCCTTTCCCTTGTACCTTGTCTACTAACCTTCCATGTTTTCGTGAGGCCAGGACAATTGAGGCCGATCCTGCGGCGCTTTCTTCCATAGGATGTAGTTCCATGAAGCGCGCCGTGGTCCATCCATTGTCCAGGATGCTTTGATGTAGCGCCATGAAGCGCGCTGCCAACGAGTCTCCAACCCTCGCTATGTCTCCCCTCCTGAGGAGGTCCATCGTAGCAGCGAGGGAATGCATTTCCCTCAGTTCCCTCAGGAAAGTGGGATGCGCCGGTCTCACTTGTTGGGCGAAGTATGTGGCTAACTTCACCCCTGAAGTCACTGCTTGATGACCTTGGGGAAGATCGGTAAGTGCCGCTTGTTCCATTTGATCTCTGACATGGTTCACCAACATTGCCAGCACACTTCCCGGTTTGTCCCGGCTTCGTTTCTTGACCGGGGCTTCGAGATCTGTCTCTGACTCGTCCCTCTTCTCCTCCGAGTCCGAAGATGCGCTCGAACTGGCACTGTAGCTGCGTATCGTCCCATCTGCTAGGACTGTGCGCTTTCTCTTCTTCTTCTTCTTCTTCTTTTTCTTCTTGCCATCCCGTGTAAGGATCTTGGCTAGCGCTTCTGCCATCTCCTTGCCAGGATGCTTGCTCTTCTTTTTCTTCTTCTTCTTCGCCTCCTGATTGGTCACTTCCAGAGCTTTCAAAGCCAGCTGGCCGCTCCAGCTTCTGGTAGAAATGTCTCTTATAGCTGATGGATCTTCCACCTCCTCTGCGTGCGCGCCATCGCCTCGGCGAAGTGCCGGCGGGCGCCGTGTGGGGAGAGTTGTTCCCGTTCCCAGTGGTTCTTCCTCGTCTGTATAAGACGATTTCTCCTCGGAGCTTGCAACCACCTCTGATTCCTCGACGTCTGCGGCTGGAGTGCCAGCGTCTTTCATTTTCTTTGCGGCCGCCAACTTCTCGCGGAGCTTGGCTCTGAGATCTCCCGGTATGGCAGTGTCGGTCCCAGGCTTCTCCTTGTGCGCACGGCGACGGGCCGGCCCGGCCAACCGGCCAGCGGCCCTGCCAGCGACAGGAGCTTTGCGCCCAGGCCCCTTTTTGCCTCCCGAGGTCTCTCCCTTCTCCTCTTCCAAAGCCTTGATCCACCGTTTGGCGGCGGTCCACTTGGAAGCCACTACATAGTCGCACCCTTTGAAGTTCTCGAAGCTCCAAAGCCTGACCGTAGTGACGTGAATATCTGCCTCGGGCTCTATATCCACACAAGGCCTTGACAAGCATAGGTGAATTCTCAGCACCCTCCTGGGTGCCGTCTCCTCCAACTGCTTTCCCAAATCGGGGTCGGTGCATCCCATGTAATGACCAGACAAAACCAAGCTTCCGTCTAGACGGTTTTCTACCTTGCTGATAAAATAGGCAGCCCAGTCGTCTTCCACATGAGCCAATGACGAGGTTTTGGCACTGAATTCTACGACTAGGCCGGGTACTGGTTGCAGACCGCTCCATTGTTCGTGTGAGTCCACGTCAATTTCAGCTCCCTCAGGGAAATTGGCCATCTCAATAGCCCAGACGCGTGCACTCAAGGGGCTTCTCCTGCGTAGAAGTGAGCTCCCAGAAGTCTGCGGCTGGTTTTCGATGAACCCTCAAAGTAGGATCTACTGCCAATCTCTTCAAGCGCTGATGCTTGCGCCCTCCTCGAGTGCGGCCTCTCCTTGAACTATGTCCGTCTCGATGTTCTCGATGCTCTCGTTTTCGGGATCTCCTGGACCTGTCGGACGCACGGGTGCTCCCAGCGTCACGGGCCCTGCGGGATTCCCTTCGATCGCCTCCTTCTCCGCGATGGGTGTCAGGCTCAGGCGGTCGCCTTGAACCGTCTGGCAAAGGCCGATGATCAGGGGCTGGGCTTCGACCCACTGATCGGTCCCTGGTCTCCTCCTCTGATTCTTCTCCTTCTTCGCTCTCCTCCTCCTTTGGGGGCAATGGTGGAGGTGGAAGAGGTGCCCTCCTTCGGGGCAAAGAATCACGTCCCGTATGGGGCTGCTCTGCTCGGCGCTTGGGCTTGGCGGCGGGTACAGGAACCTCTGCACGGCCAGTGCCAGCAGAAGGACCACCTGCTACCCTGGCCAGCCCAGAGCTGAGGGATCTGAGCGCCTTAACCTGGCGCGCGGCGGTGACTGCCAAGTCACCTGCCAGCACCCTGGCTCCCTCAGAATCCCAACTGGCCGTAAGTTCCCTTCCAAGGAACTCCCAAGCGCTGCAGCCCGTGCACCACGAGTCGCCCTCCGCCGCTGCTATCTGGTGACACTTAGTGCAGCGGGGACCGGGGGGCATCAGATTTTGAGCACAAAAGCTCTTGATATCAAAACGACATCGTCAAAACGTCTGGCTTCTGCCTAGTATTCAAACAGAATGCCTTAAACTTATATTATAGTATATCATAGTATATATTATATTGTCCATCATGTATTGGCCAATATTGTGTTTAGATGATCATATACTGCGGGAAGCCATGCCCGATTATAGAATGATATGACGTGGCAAAAAAAGAATTGTATATGATACATTATAATACTATATAGTTTAATTCAATTATGACCCTTTAAACCTTACGGACCTATAGCCTATATACTACAAACACTGACAAATATAGAGGACATTATACAAAGACATTATACAAAGACATTATACAAAATTATACAGCCCCCTTTCCAGGAAAACCTTGGCCCAACATGTTGGAATGTTGTTGTTTCCACCGGTGTTGACTTAAGAAAAAGTGAGAGCCCCTTTGTCTTAATTGCCAGGTTTTAGGTTTTTATATTGATTCCCAGAAGCTCGAACAGGCAGTTTTAGGCATACGGGAATTGCTGGTGCTCCAGTGCTACCCCAGGGCCCAGGGTATGCAATTTTAGTTCAAAACATGTTAAAAATCATGTTTCCACTGTTGCGGGCTTCCCCATGTATATATATTAATATATATATATATATAATGATATATATATATCTCTCTCTCTTCATTATACCAGCACTTTTGTTGCTTCCCCGTCTGTTTCTTTGGAATCTTTGGCAACTTGTCCGAAAATGGCACCAAGCGTCCTTTCGGTGTCGTCGCTCTTGTTCCTTTGGAAGGCTTTGCGGAGGTCGTTCATCTGGGCATCTGTGAAGCCTGTGACCAACAATCTCAACATCAAGCGGATGGGGACCATGACCAATCATCAAGACCATGAGCCATAAAAACTAAACAAGAAGATGGTTTTCTGGTTGGTGGTTGAGCCACCCCTCTGAAAAATATGAAAGTCAGTTGGGATCATTATTCCCAACATCTGGAAAAATAAAACTGTTCCAAACCACCAACCAGTTTTGAATGTTTTTGAATGATGTCAAAGCGGTGATTATGGAAAAGTCATTTTTCCATATTTTTCCCATTGGAATTCACATGAGTTAAGCCTTCAGGGAATCTGTGCAAGAGGAAACTCCATCAGGTCCCATGTCATCCCGCAGCCGCCTTCGCGATTACGCAGGCAGTGCAGCAAGGTGCATACATCGTCCATGTCCATGCGAATCCCGCTCAAATCCTTAGATCGCTGCCCTGGTTCCCGATCAATTCATGGATAAAGGATGCCATGTAATCTTTGACCCTGCACAACCATAGATCTATCGTTCAGTTCAGCCTCGGCCCCTTAGTCTAGTTCCTAGTTTCCCATCAGGAGTCAGGAGTGCCTAAAAATGCCACCAAGACGGCCCCAAAGAACCAAAGCTTCATCCAGCGAACACCCAAAAAACCAGGCGTCTGCAGGACTTTGACCATCTCAACCCCATTACCTCCTAGTGGCGAACCCTGGCGAACCCTTTCACCACCCAGTTTCTCACTTTCTGCAGTTAGTGTTACGTGTAATACGTCTGGACGGGAAATAGATGGCAATGTGACACCGTGAAAACCTAAGCCAGGTCTCGCGAGTAAGAGGGCCCAAAATGAATATGCATATGCATTTACATATACATATATAATGACATAAGTAAACAATACATAGATGAACAAATGTATTAAAAATGAAAGAAGTACATAAATATATACATGAATAAAAGAAAGGAAGAAATAGAGAAGTAAATATATAGATAGATAAACAGATAAATATATATATATATGTATATATATACAAACGGATAAACAATAAAAAAAAAAACTGTAAATATAAACAAACAAATACATAACGAAAGAAAGAAATACGAATACAAAAAAACAAAACGATACAAAAAATAATTCACATCCAATAATGATGACTAAAGCATGGTTTCTAGGATAGCCCAACTGGCCCAAGTTTCGATCAATTGCTCTGGATCTGTCTTGCCACAAAATCCAGCCTCTTGCATCGCATCCTGCAGCTGCATAGCTATTGAACATGGCCATGGCGTTCGTTTTACCTATGAAAAATGGTGATTTTCGAAGATTTCCCTAGGAAATTTGATGAAATTTGGGGATCTCCCAAGATTTTCCATCGCAAACCATGTGAAAAATTTCCAGAGGTCAGTATGAATTAGCTGGATTTGTAAAATTGACTCCCTAGGTCCTAGCCGCCTAGCCATTGGGGACCAAGATTCTTCAGCTAGCAATTCTTAGGGACGTGTTTGAATATCGGCTCCTTGATCGATGGTGATCTATCATCAAAATTCATCAAAATTCATCAAACACCAAACAAAAATGACGAGGAATCCGAGGGACGATCAAAGCTGCAGCTGACGCTTGATATCCCAACTTGATCAACAGCGCCTGCAGCGAGCTGGCATCGTTCTGAGGAATGCCACGTGCCTTTGACATCCTTTGGACATGGAGAAAATGAATGAAAATGGTGCTTTCCCGGGAGATCACAGCCGGGTCTCTTCGCATCATCCATGATTCCTATGAATACATCGCCGAGGTCACTTCTGGTGGCAGATAAGATGATCCCTCACTGCATCGAAACTCCTTGCAATTCACAAACCTGAAGTAAACTAAGTAAACCATTTTGGCAAGGACCGGGAAGGACATGAAAAACGCCCCAAGAGGTCAGTATGATTCTCATTCCCTGCCGCTGAAAGTTTCACCCCTGTCCACCTCCAGTTCTCTGACTGAAGAAATGCGCTGGCCGTAGCCGTTGGCCACGGCTCGCTCTCGCAGGAATTGGCGTATCGTCGACAGCTCCGCATCCTGAGTTTTTTTCTAAGTGGCGGAGGACGCTTTTTCTTACCGTTATAGCCAGTAAAACTCCACCCAATGATTCTGATTTAATACGTGTTTTGGGCCAGAAAACAGGGCACCCCTATGTTCAAAGCCATCATTTCGAGGCCGTCATTTCCCCTATCTTTGGCCCATCCCCCACCAAACCCATCGCCCATTGTCCAAGGCGCTTGGATATGCCGCAGGCAAATCACGAATTCCGACTCACTGAGCACTCCGTTGCCTGGACCAGCTGAACCCACTTCGTGCCCTTTGGTGTCTTTGTTTGCTATGTGACTGGCATAAAACGTAGATATACAGATATATGTATATATATATATTATACATGGAAGAAAAGAAGAAGAAGATGATGATGATGATGATGATGATGGATGATGATGAACTGTAAGGCTATATATATATCCCTATATGTAATTATCTGTTTTGCCATACATATAGTATAAGCTCTGTAATATGCATCTCACACTCATCTGATCACATTGTGGGTGTGATTTTAGAAACAGATGAGGGTAACGAAGCACATGTGTTTATCTGTGTTTATCTATTTGGGAGCCGCTGGGGTCATTTTTGACTGTTCGATGACTAGAATGCCCGGCACCCTCGAGACGATACGTTCTGAAACTCCTTGAGGGGATAGTGTCTGCTGACGTGGTCCTGTCATTGTGCTGTCACCCTGTCGAGCTGCCATTCATGTCGCTTTCCTTGTACAGGCTCTGGACCTTGTCGTTGGTGTAAGGAAATCCCAGCCAGGATAACCTCAGGAGCAAGGCAGCGAAGCACGATGAAGCCGGGCCATCATGGGTTCGAAAAATTAGGTAACCCCAAATCTCATGGTTGAGAAAATCAATGAACAACAACAAAATGTTGGTCTTCCCAGATGTTTTCCCATGTTTTTTCACCCATTTCCTGCCATAAACGGAGGTGAACACACCCCAGCAGTAGCCAAGTGACGCACTCCCCAGCTCCCCCGCGCACATATCACCCGAGGCATCACTGTCGAAGTCCTGGAAGACTCCGCGGAAGCGGTCCAATTCGGCCACCAGGAAACCTCCCAGCACCGCCCTTCGGGCCACCACTGGGATCCCCAAGGTCACCTTGATTTTTATGGGGGCTTCAACCATCCCCAACTGGTGGTTACCCCGAAAAATGATGGAGTGAAAGTCAGTTGGGATGATGATTGGGAAAGTCAAAAAAATCATGTTCCAAACCACCAACCGGCCAAGTATTGGAGTTGTTTGTTCCTCTTGGCTTTCCCACATTAAATGTTGAAGGGGGAGAAATGAGCCGGCAAGGTGGAACAGTGTTTGTCAAATTTCGTCTTGATGCCGCAATAAACCATAAACATCCATAAACCAGTTGACACTCTCACAAAATGGAGTTGCTGTACTCTCCCATTTTTTCCCAACCACCAGTCCATCCACCCATTCCACCCATCGAAAATTCCGCCAAAGTCCCCCCCGGAGGTGGGTGCCTTCACGTGCCCTTAGAAGCTCCATGACCGCCGCCACATCTCGGAAACCCAGCACTTCGGGCCTGGACCATGTGGGAGCAACGGTCATGTGCCGATGTCCATGCTACCAGGCTACCATGTTATCAGTTATCCATGTTCATCCCCCTATTTGGATCTATGGATATCATTGATATCATTGTGGAATCCGTGATCAGCCCATCCATCCCATCCCAAGACTGTGCATCAATGATTCACAATTTGGAGCAGTTCGACCGAGCAGCAGACTAAAAAGTCATGAAAACTCCTGACCTTCTGGCCTCCCTGAACTCCATCCAGCCTCCCAGCACGGCAGACTTCTTTCAACAACTCTTCCAGCACCACGCGACCTCGACACTTCGGTGCTGGGCATCAATGTGAAGTGGGTCACCGTGGGTAGCCAAGAAATGCCCAGAACAACCACTGGACATGTACATACAATCTGTGCGCATACATGTGCATTTGCATGTGCATTGGCACGTGTATCTTTACTTAAATCGAACCTATTCATTTGTCATGTATATATATATACATGAATTTGTATACTTTATATATATTTATATTTATATTTATATTTATATACATTCACCAAAATCCCTCTGTCTATTGACCATGCAGGACCACACATATCATATTCCCCTCCAGCAGGATGTTCTTTCCCTCCCTCTGCACGACTCTCATTTTCCAACAAGCCGCGGGGTTCCAAGCCCAGTTCCTGCAGCAAAAGTGGAAGGCTCTGCACTGACATAGCACCTGGCACCATGGTGCACCATTCGTTGGCCGAATGGGAAACTCCAGAGCATCTCCATGGGATGATGCAAGAGTTTTTCGACTCGGGAAGTCTTCTGGAAGCCCCACCATTTTGGGAACATGTTTTGGAAATGTCTCCCAATGGCTACATATGGCTACATAACTTTCCATTTCTTGCATATCACTGCCCCTCAGCGGGGAGATGAGCGGGCCCGCCTGGGCTGGTCTCATACTTTAGGAACTCCGTGCGATATAAATCGTGAAGTCGCGACTCGTAGAGGCAGACGAACTGCATGAACTCCTCTCCTCCGGTTGTGCGAAATTCGCGGCAACCCGACTGCCGCAAAGCATCCCTCAATAGTGCCGGACCAAGAAAGAAGCACTGGTTCATAGCTATCCGTGATGCATTCAATGCTTCATCCACGGGTTCAACTGAACTCAGGTACTTTCTTGGGGTGTGGGTGAAAGTTGAGCACCCCATATAATATATATATATATAATAGACATAGGTCTTTGTAATTTAGCATGTGCCAAATAATTTGCCAAATAATTAAGGATCTCAGATGTCCATCTAATAAACCCGCAACCAACCTCAAGTTGTGTTGGTAAAAGCCCCCATGTCATACAAAACATACAAACATATAGCCTCTGGTAAACTAACATAACCATGGAAAATCACCATCTTAAATGGGTAAATCAACTATTTCTATGATTCGACTGGGCCATTTTCAATAGCAAACTGTTGACATAACCAGAGGCTACAAATGACGATAATCCATGGAATTTCCCATGGAATTTCCTACGAAATCCCATGGAAATCCCATGGCTTTCTGCCGTTCACCAAGACTCGGTTCAGTGCCGTGTAGCGCGTGACTTGCTCCAGGGCTTCATCGATTAAGGCTTGGCGTCGGTCGTCAAAGCCTGAGAGATATCCCTTCTGGACCACTGGACCACATCAGTTATACCCTCTGGTGATTTCGTAGGAAATTCCATGGGAAATTCATGGATTATCGTCATTTGTACCCTCTGGTGATGTCCAAATAGTTATTGAAGATGGAACCTTTAAAAAAAATATCGTTGATTTACCTGTGAAAAATGGTGATTGTCCATGGTTATGTGAACGTTTACCAGAGGGTAGACGTTGAAAACCACCAAGGTCTTTTTTCACCAGAAAATTGATGAAAATGGATATATCTTGTGATATATCGTGTGATATATCTCAGGCTGAGACTTTAAGAATAGATGGCGAATCTCGGCAAATGTCCAAAAAAAGGAAGGCGTCACCGGCGTCACCAGCACCTGAGTTGATATTCATCTTATCAATGTTTGACAGCCGTGGTTGATTTCCCTTGGGAACCCAGACCTGATCCATTCAGGCTACCGCAGCCAGGCAGCCACAATGTGCCAGGGCCTTGTTTAAGTCGTCTCGGTGGATCTCTCCTTAGATGGTTTCCTCTGAAGGGATGGACGGACCTTGAAAATGTGAAAATCAATTGGGATCATCGAAACTGCCAATCATTTGAATGTTCAACTGCCAGTATCTGCCAATCCATGGCACTTACTTTATTCTCGATCTTAGAGTCCTGGTAGTCTATGCATGTCTATTCCACCACATTCCATTCGCATTCTGACCGGATAACCCTCGTGTGTCCATGGGATCTCCCAAGTGCCGAAAGCCTACAGGGCCTACAGCTTACAGCCAACTTTTGTCAGCCATCTCCACTATTTCAAATAAAATCATGTTGAAATTCTGAAACCCATGATTTAAAGGGTTCCAGGTTCCAGGTTAGTGTCATGGGGATTACCGGAAGAAACACTGCGGTAAATCCACGAAAATCAACAAGTAGACCCCAAATGCAAAGGTTTACATGGTTTTTACATGGGTGTTTTTAACCAAAAGACTAAAACAACATGAGGTATGGCAGGTATGGTTTCTGGTTCACTAATCACCCTAGAGCGTCCGGTTCCAGTTCATGTGCCGCGCATCCATCATGTCGAAATCGGTTGAAGCTGGACCTGTGCAGGGACAAGTCGGACAATGTCGACCTGCAAACCTTTTTTAGGCCTCGCAGTTCTGTCCTCAAACGTTGCAGCAGATTCTAGATGTATCAAAACCCTCCCCACAAAAATAAAAACAAGAACTTGTGACATCTTGTGACATCTTGTGACATGGATTGACAGGGTGACTTTCCCACTAAAATGGAGAACAACCCAAGCAACTTTGGCCTCCACTTGGCCCGCTCATCGGAAGAAATACGGCGCGCCTTGGTCACAGGGTTGCTCCACTCCAGGTACTAGCTGGGTAAATGGGTGAAACAAATTGCTTACCCTGAATGCCGAAAGTCTCCGAACTGTGTTTTGAATGTAACTATGTCCTATTCTTTTGATTTGCGGGATGGAGGTTCGTCATGAGAATCTGTGATCAATGATGTAACGGATTGTGCCGAAACGAGGTGACATAGTAAATTCAAATCTTTTGCATGATACGGATGAGGATTTGGTGATTGTCATGATGGTGGTGATGCTGATGATGACGATGACGATGCCGATGACGATGACGATGACGATGACGATGATGATGATGATGATGATGATGATGATGATGATGATGGCCGAGGCGAAATTGAGATGGAAATGTAACAGTGTAAAAAAGCGATCTGGATGCGGAAACTTGATGGTGATTGTTCAATCATGATATACACACACGTGTGTATATATATATGCATACATATGTATATATATAGAGAGAGAGAGAGAGCAACCGTAAAAACCCCGGCAATACTAAATATGGATTCGACGGACATTGGTTTATGGAAATTGATGGAAATTGTTAAAAACACGAGGTAAGCGATGGGACCTTCCCAAATTAGCGATACCCCTTTTCAAGGTTATGTCATCATATTTCTCTAATATCCACATTAGCGATACCCAAATATCACATATTATTCATAGTTCATCGCATATATATATATATATATATATACGTATATATAAATGCAGCAGTTTCCTGCAAGCGATACCCCCCAAGTTTACCATATATCATTATTGTACAAACGTGTGGTAAGCGATGGGACCTTCCCAAATTTGTGGATGTCCTTTCCGTGAACCTAGGGTTTTCACAATCGCTATACATATACATATATATATATGTGTGTGTGTGTGTTTGCGTGATGTAGTGTATTGCTTATCCCGCTCGATTGGTTCAAGGGACATTTTACACGAAACCCCAATTTGATATGAAAACACATTTTCCCCAGTTTCTTGCAGGTTCTGTGCAAATCATCGCAATGTCCATGGCATGTTTGCTCCCTGGTGACCCCACCACCAAGACTCCACGTGACTTTCATCCTCATCGCAGGCTGGCAGATGCTCCTAGCATTCAAGACTTTGGCGCCCACGGACTTGGTCACGGGTTTAAAGATGTGTTTTGGGTGGTACATAGTTTTGAGATGTTTTGAGACTTGTTGAGCCATTCCCATATAATATATTGATATATTGATATATTGATATTATGGATGTTACCCATTCCTCCTTGATCACCACCCCAGCTTCCAAAACATCTTAGAGCTCCTTCGATACCAAAGACTGCAAACTGTCGTGCGCACCTTCCTCCTGCATCGCAGAAGTTTGGCTGTGTTTTGGGGGGCACAAACCACCATGATTGTATGAATGAACCACGTGCCAAATGTGGTCAAACGAAATGCACTTGCAATGCAATCAGCAAGTCGGCATGTTTTGCGCGGCAAAACGGTTGATGCAAATGGCTCTGGATCCTTGAGGAGCCAACGGAAATCATGGACAGGATGGATCAATGCTCAGAAGCAACACCAAAATCACACTGCCATATTTTCTTTTGATCCATCTACGTCCCTAAGCTGTATGGTGCTACGCTGAAGCCACTGAATCAATTCAAACATCAGGGCTTTGCTAATCTTCGTGAGGCCGTCTGCCCATTGAAGATGGGTCGGTACCCAATGTACAGTTCTATGATCTATCAGCTCTTGAATCGATCTAACATTCACCAAGCTTCGCTTGTCTTGGATGCTTGGGTTCGGCGAAGCTACAGTGTCATACAGGCTTTTGCAGTCTGTGACAAGAAGTGTTGTGAGACGTTTACCTACTCTATGAGCTGGGATGCCGAAAATGAGTTCTCCCAGCATGTAGCTCAAAAACGCAAGCCGATCGGTCGCAGTGTCAGCGCTCACTGCTTCAGCTGCCAGAGTAGAACGGCAAACTCTCTTGCTTCTGCCAGTCTTCCAGTCTGCAATGGCTCCAATTGAAGTGCACTCAGTGACATTCGCAGAGGTCAACATGATGATCTGTCCATGTTGGCTGGCAGATCCCTGTGCGTTCGCCCAGGATGCATCACTGTACCCAACAATCACAGTGCTCTGATCAATGGGGACAGCCCGGATGCAAATGCCAAGTTCTGCAGTTGACTTCGCAAAGTCCAATGTCTGGTTGAGGGCATCCAGATCAGCATAGGTCGTCTCGGACCCACGATTTGACAAGGAAACTGCGCTGGCTAAGTCAAGCCTGCATTGTCCTGCCAACCATTGAAGACATCCGCTCACTGACCGAAACTCAGGCCAATGCTCATCAGAGATCTTCGTACTCATCTTACCTTTCGGAATTTTCATGCCCTTGTCCAGACTGTTGATGAATGTAGTCTGAGTGATCTTGACATAGAGCTCGTTCTTCTCATCATGACATATATGGATCTCTTTGCCCTTGAACGTGAGAGGTGCTCCGGGCTGCGCATACTGCTGGGATCCCCATTTGAAGCTGGCTTGGAACTTCTCAAAGGGGAAGCTGGAGTTGTGAGTGAGCAGAAAATCATCCACATAGCAGATCAGCAAAGCGCAAGGTGCAGGAGCGTTGTGTGGATCAGGGAACCAAAACAACATTTTGTCAAAAGAATGACAAATAAAGCCTATTGCTTCCAATCTGCGGCTCACTTCAACAGCCCAAGTATATGGGGCATTTGAAAGTCCATATATATTTCCAGTTATCTCATACAGCTGACTTTTGAAAACTTTGGCTCTTTCGACTATGGGATCCCTTGGAGGTTTCAGATACAGCTTGCCTGCTCGTTCTGACCAATCTGGATCCCCTTGGAGAAACGCAGTGGAGGCGTCTCCGCACCAAAGAAGCCAAACATCTCGACTTCCAAAAGCCTTTGAATTGGCGCCAGAAACAAAGATGATGTACACCAACATCTCTGAAGTCCTCGTTGGAGTTGGAGCCTGTCTCGTCAAGTTGACTAGGTCAGGGTCTTGGTTGCCACGACAGACTATTCTGGTCTTGGCCTTCAGCGGTGGAACATTCTTGTTCTTGTCCCGATAGCATCTCCTGGAAGTGATGATGCGCTTCTTCAACTTCGGGTCATTCAGGATGCGCCGAGCTTCATCTTCAGGAATCGGCTGCAGGGACTTCCAAGTGGTGAAGCTGTTTGCCTCCTTGATGGTGGCTTCGACGAAGGCTTGGATATAGTCGTCAGACTGCTGCATGATTTCTCGCCAGCTAAGTTCTTTCTCCTGAGCCTTTTGCTCTTTCCTGGTTTTTCTAGGCATGCCTTTCGACATGTCATCAAACTCTTCATCTGACTCTGAAAGTGTCGTTTCAAAGTCGTCTTCTTTCTCCGCAAGCTCGTTGACATAGGCAGTGATGAAGGTCTTGGAAGAGCTTGGGAGGCAATTGTCAGGGCTGCCATCCCATCCAGGCTCAAAGGAGTTGAGCTCACGATCGCTCGCAAAGAAGCTGGGAGCTTGTTTCGCACCAACATGCCATAGTTCCGTCAGGGTGCTCAACTCTGATCCAAAGTGATGGGCCTCTTCATCGTCATTGTCGTTGAAGGGACCTTCAAAAATGATGTCGCCCGATGTGGCGTCCAAAGTGCGCCTCCATTTCACTGAAGACATGGGTGGTCCAGTGGACATTGTCTTCTTGGGCGATTTGGTGAGCAAATCAAGCCTTGCCCAGCAGCGTAAGCCTTGAAGAGGTGGCCCATAGAAGCTGCGGTAGTTGTAGAGCTCGTAGGACCTCTGTGCAACTCTTCTGGCTCGTGTGAGTTGTGCTGCCAGGGTTTCAAATGGCCGCTTCAAGACTGATGTTGCTTCAATTTGATCCTGATAGGGATCCTGTGCTGCTTGCTGTGCATCTTCCATCAGTTCTGGCGGAGTCCGTGGAACAAATTGTCCCGGATCATCCAAATCATCTGTGAGATCCACAACTGGCTGAATGTTGGGATCAGTTTGTTGTTTTGCTGTATGTATGGATGGGTGTAGATGTGGCTGTGGTAGAGGTGGCATGGCTGCTGTGCTCTGTGTGTATGGTGCCGCATCTGTGGATGCTCTGGCGGTGTTGGCGTGTCTGTCAGGTGTGTGTGTAAGTTCTGCTTGTCTGCTTTGTATCCTGTGTCTTGTCTGAGTCGGTGTTCTTGATCGAATTCTTCTGGATGGCGTATGGGGAACTGGTGTTCCAGGTGCTGGCTCGTTGAAAATGTTCTGTGTTTGTTGTATGTTTTGATGTAAATGGATTGATGGTCTTGATGATGGTTGCTGTGGTGGTTGTGGAGGTTGAATCTCAATAGGCTGGTTGCTGACTTGAAGATTGGACGTAGATGGGGCTTCGACTGCTTCAAGCTGAGGAGCAATTGGCGCATTCACTTCTGGGTACTCAAAGTCCAAGTCCAATTCCCCAGAAGCTTCAGCGACTTGGTCAGGTGGATGAACTTCTTCTGGAAGGGTCTCGTCAGTCCACAAATCTGACCTGATGTTGTCCTCCGCATTCTTGAGAGCTTGAAGATCTTGACGATCAGGGACATAGTCCTCATAGCCGAAGACATCTCGAACTTGGGTGTCAGCAACTTTGACAGTATGACTGCCACTTTGAAGCCACAGAGTTTTGCCATCTGGATCTTTTCCCAAATACCGCGCAATGCGGTATCCTCCACGTTTGCGATGAGAACGTGTAGTCCATCGCCAGTATGCCAAGAGGGATCCTGGCTGGGGCTCAAGCTGCAGCTGCTGTGAAGTTTTGCGAAGCAATGCCCTTCTCAAAGTCGAAGATGCTGAGGCCTCTGCAATTGCTTTCAACGCTTCGCATCTCATCAGGGCAGATTGCTGCTGAGCCTCAGAGCGAGACGAGCCAGAAATCAAAGCCCGAGGGTCGCTCAAAAGGTCTGTGCCAACTCTTGGGATCTTTCCAAAGGCTGCGATGTATGGTGGTCGCCCAGATGACCAAGTGGCTGAGTTCTTGGCCTGAAGTGCTGAAACAATGGCCAAGTCAATGTCATCCGCATCGGTGCAAGGCATGGAGTCCACGATGCGCTCCAGGAGCATTCTAAGCGTTCCATTGTGACGCTCGATCACGCCCAGCTTGTAGTGAGCTTCTCCTGGGATGACATCTAGATAGGTGCCACCTGCGCTCATCTTTTCGTCAAACTCAGCTTTGAAGGCGCCATCATCATCAACTGCAAGCCTCAAAGGAAATCCAAAATTCTGAAGCCAGCAAAGTCGAAGTGCATCAAAAACCTCAGATGGATTCCTGGAAGTCAACCTTGTGGCAGCATGCAAATGAGTTGCTTCGCAAATCACCCCAAGAACCGGATGGTTCTTGGAAGTCAAATCCCTCAGGTAGAAGATGTCCGCCTGGAGGTTGTCAGCAAATTGCCCAATGCACTGTGGAGGTGCCGCTGCTGGGTTTGGTCGAAGTGGAGCTCGCGAGCGAGCGCAAGCTGCACATTGCATATTTTTGATGCATTTGATCACCTGGTCGCTGGTGATGCCATTCAAAGCCAGCAGCTTCAGCATCTCTGGACCTGGAAGATGTCCAAGGTTCTTGTGCATTCTCGACACCGACACCTTGATGGATCTGTCGATGCCTGTGGAGTTGGGAAAAGTGATTTCATCATGGTAAATCTCGGAGTTCTGAATTGGTTGTGAAGCTTGAGATGGCTGAAAGTTGCCTGCCTCATCCACAGGAACTCCATCTCGCATCATGGCCTCTTCGGCTGGGATACCTTGTTCCTCATCAATCTCATTGGGGTACCCATACCAGAAGATGCCCAACTCAACAGGTGCCTTGAAGCGTGAACGTGGGAATCTGAGTTCAGTCAAGTCCTCAGTGATGACATCAACTTCAGGATTGTCCACGTACCTGAGAGCTGCGCCTCGATGGGTGTATGGAAAATGCAATGGATGTCGATTCACCAAAGGTCTTCGAGCGACCTGCACCCGAGTGAGCTGCCATGGAAGCATTGCTTGAACTTGAGCATATAGTGGTTCGTGAGGTTGGATGATGGCATCTCGCGAAGTCAAAAAGTCCATATGCTGAGATGCCAACTCCATCACGTTCCTCCAGCTCTGTTGGTCATCCACGGGCGTGGAAAAACTAGCCAGGACTTGCTTGGGCTGAAAACGGCATGGGTTTCTCAACTGAGCCACCTTCTTGATGCCCTTGAGAATTGCCTGGACTAGACCCATGGGATAATGTTGTGACAAGGTAACCTCTTTGCCTTCCAGGGGAACGCACAAAGCAAGCTGCTCGGCGCTCAACTTCTTGGTCAAAAACTCCAAGAGCATGGGATTGTTGGATGCAAACTGGAAGGTCTTCTTGATGGGTTCACCTTTTGAATTCTTGCCTCCATATGCTCCAGAATGGCATTTGACGATCTGGCCATTGGTATATTCAAGCATCTCCAAGACTGATTCCTCCGACCAAATCCGGCTTCTTTCAGGATTTTCGATGAGGTAATAGTTGCCGTCATCATGTTGTTGTCGGCACCATTCCATGGATTTGACCACCGTAGGTCGTTCCTCATCTCTGATCCTTTCAAGTACCTCAGGACGGTCGTTATAGTTCATGTTTTCCTGCATGACCAACCATGGAGTGCAATGAAGGCCTTGAAGAAGAACAAGTGGGTGCAAGGCCTTTCGAATTTTGAAGCACCAGTGTTGACCTTCCACCGTAGAAAGATCAGTGCCAGTGTTATAGTCCAATGGCATGGCTGCTGTCAAACCATACTTGGAGGCATTCTTGCTTACCAAAGCATTGCCGGCAAAGGTCTCCAGAATGTCGACCTTGTTCCTGGAATAGCGATGTTTGTTCGCCAGAGCTTCATAAGTATCTGCTTCCACCTGCAAGGCATGTCGAGCCTTGCGAATCTTGCCAATCAGGTACTTTCGGTGGCCATCATTCAACCCTGGTCCTCGCCCCAGTCGTACAGATCTTCCTGACTGCCTGTCTCCTGCCACTCCATCTCCAACTCTGGGCCCTCTGCGGCCATGTTCAAAAGTCGTTGATAATGAACCTGGTGGATCTGATGGATGTTCTCGGCCGTGAGCAGGTTGAGGTTGTCCAGAACATGTTGAGGAATCTCCTGCACTGTAGGCTCGTTCAAAGGACTCTGAGAAGATGGATGGCCACGGCTCTTGGCTTTGGGTTTGGCTTTGGCTTTGGAGGTTGTTGCTCTCAGGGACCTCGACGTCGAGGATGCCGGCAAAGTGTTTGAAGGTGAGGGCTGCGGCAAAGAAGAGCTTGCCGATTGTGCGAGCCCAATGTCCTCCCAGCATTGATTTCGAGGATCCCATTTGCGTCTGGTGTGACACAGGGTGCACCTGGCGAAACTGCCCTTGGGATTGCCGTACCTCTTCCATTCCGGATGGGTGCATTCCGATGGGTGGTACTGAGCGCTCCTCATCTGTGAAGCCAGTACCTCTTGTTCTTGTCGCATCTCCCATCGCTCCCTCAGTGTCAACCATACGCGGCTCGCCAATCCCACTTTGACCATTCGAGACATCCATCGAAGGGTCATGAGCTCCAAGTTGAGCACTGCCAAAAGGAGTGCCTTCCATCGGAGCAGCCATTGAGGAACGGGCTGTCGAACCATCAGAAACTGCAAACACAGGGGCTGGCTGATCTCGAGGAAGTTGCTGCTTCAGATGCAAAACGTCACTGGTGGCAATGATCTCTGGATGTGGATCTTTCCAAAAACTCTCATGTGAAAGCGCATGCCAAACAGGATCTTGATGAACATGTTCATGAAACTCTGAAATTGAAACTGCAAGATGTCCATTGATCTTCTGAATCGGCACTGAAACATCCAACGCTCTAAAAAAAACTCTCTGCTTTCCCAGATCAACCACTGTGTCCAGCTGTTCCAAAAACGTGTTTGAAGCCAACAAAGGAATGCTAGTGTCAACCACGCTGGAACCTATCAAAAACAAACATCCACACAATGACACCGGCATGTAAACTCGGTCCTTGGCATAGATAGGCTGCCCACGACCAAATTGGAAAGCCTCACAGGTGTGAACATGCTTGACCATCATTCGATGTTGGCCGAGGAGATGGACTTGTTGGGATAGCCATTGGGTGCCACAACACATACGCTGACATGCAGTGTCTAAAATCATAAAACCAACCAGTGGGGTCATATCGGTCATCATGATGTCATATACCGGAGTGTTGATATTCACAACCATGAAGGAGAAATAGTTAGGAACTTCAGGATGATCAGTTGGGAGATGTCGAGGCTCAGAATCTTGATCTTGAGACATGGTGAAGAAAACCTTTTTCGCAGGCTTGCCGCCCTTGTCAGGCTGGGATTTTCCATCCTTTGAATGTCCTTTCCCAGCACCTTTTGATGAAACAGTACATTCTGCATCTCCGGCCCAGTGCCCTACACTTCCACAAGCGCTGCAGTGGCTGGTGCGTTTCCGGTCCTGAATTGACCGATTGCCAGAGTACTTTCTCCCCAAAGTGATCGACTGAAGTTTCTTGGCTGTGACAGTCAGCACTTCAGCAACTGACTGCAAATCAACACCTTCAGATTCTGCTTTCCATCAACATCATGTTCCTCAGCTGGCTCATCCTGCTGAGGCTGACCATCTGGTTCAACTGCATCTTGAACATCATAGTACGATTCAGCGTCTGGCTCTTCTTGTTCTTCTTCGACCGGATCAAGATCCTGGTGCTCAGTCGCAAAAGCATGGCGAGGAGCAAAACCACTCTTGCCAGAGCCCTTGCTTTTGCCCTTGTTTCCTTTGGAAGACTGTGAGGCAGCTGAGCTGGTGCTGGCAGAGGTCGAAGAAGATGAAGATGACCAGTCACGCCTTGGCTGAAAGGCTTTGATAGGCTGTCCATCTTTTCCAAACAAAGGTGGCGGCGGCTTGTGCTCTGGAAACGACATGCAAAGACTTTCAGCAATGGCTTCGAAGGACAAGTTGAAGGCCGATCCAATCAAAACCAATCTGCCGTTTTCAGGCGACAGCCGAGATCTCTCCAACAGCCTATTGCCCATTGACTCACTGTCGTACATGCCACTTGCAGTGACACCGACACTCTCAAGGGCTCGTTCAGCTCTTCTGTATCGGTTCACAAAAGCTCTCATAGACTCATTGCTCTGTCTCACAATGGTCTCAAACTCTGACATCAACTTCCTTTTCTGGTACACCATCTTGGTCTCCAGGCCTTTCTTCAACAAACTCTCCACATAGTCAATGCCTGTAGATGAATGCAAACGATCCAAGTCAATGTGCTCCAGCTCCTCCTCCGGCTCACCAGAAAGACTCGTATATAACATCAGCGCCGCATCACGCAGAGGCATGTAGGCTTGGATCTGTCGCTTCCAAACCTGCAGTTTGTTCTGCCACTTTGCAAAGCTCCTGATATCATCTCTGGAATAGCGCCATGCAGGTGGAGCTGGTGGTGCTCCTGATCGAAAACGAAGTCCACGCTCAGGCCCTTTTCGACTGTTCCAGCTGTCCTGAGACGAGGATCCATCTGCATTGTTAGTGTTAGTCTTTAGGTTCGGTACATTCGCATTCTTCAGGGTCGTTACCAAGTCATTCAAACTGCGGTTGAGGTCACCAAGGAGTTCACCGGAACGCTGACTTAGTTCCGAACACTGAGAACTGCGATCTGACTGAGGTGATTGTTCTACATCAGGTCTTTTCCGGCGTCTTCTCCTGCGAGGCCGCTGCAAATCTGGATCAACCACAGGATCTTCCGTAGGATGCTCAGACTCAGCATGCCTTTCATGGCCATCATCATCCAATGAGCCTTCTGAAGGGTCAGGTGGAGGCCAAAAACGGGGTGCCCTAGAATCCGGCTGCAGTTCCACGGACTCAACTGAGTGAACAGGGGAATGGCCAGGTGAATGCCGTGGCATGAACATCCATGTACCCTCAGGAATCTCTGCTTTCACAGTTCTAGAAGCATCATAGTATCTATCACCATCACATTGGACACATCTCCAACAGTCATGTCGCCACTCGAATTTGTGATGATTACAGGCCATGCATCGCCAAAGTGAACTAGAAGCTGCACTAGCGGAATGAACTGGGCTCAACAAATCAACGGGTGGTCCTGGAACTGGCGCATCGAGCAATGGCGAGTCACAGGAGTCGATGTGGGTACGTTGGCCAAACATCTCGATGCACCAACGCAAGCTCCGGTGCCAGATGAATGAACCACGTGCCAAATGTGGTCAAACGAAATGCACTTGCAATGCAATCAGCAAGTCGGCATGTTTTGCGCGGCAAAACGGTTGATGCAAATGGCTCTGGATCCTTGAGGAGCCAACGGAAATCATGGACAGGATGGATCAATGCTCAGAAGCAACACCAAAATCACAGATTGAACCAATATTGAAGGATAACTCTGGAGGTGAACCTGAGATAGCATGCAAAAACATCTACTATCATTCATCTGGGCACATACTTGTCGTATCTTATCGTCTTCCACCGATTCCACGGCCTGTTTTGGCGTTTGGTGGCCTCTCCTGTCGTCGCGACTCGTGGGATTGGATGGCTTTCGCCAGCTGAGACTCCTCCTAGGGATCGTCAGGTGATGTTTACTGAAATCATATGGACCGTTACTAATGCAGATATGCCATCAGATATGCACTTGTTGATGTCTAAATGTATGTGCGCCGCGTTCACATATACATACGCATACACATACTGCACAGACACTTACACATATTACACATACACATGATTACACATGTACATACATATACATATAAACGGACATGTATACATCTACATCTACATGTGCATGTACATGCATATGTACCTGTACAAATACATGTGTATATCTGTATATTTACATGTAATGTTTATACATGTGTGTGTGTGTGCGTGTGCCTGCATACAATATAACTTAAGACTTAGCATATAAATAGATATGTAACTATGTTGGCTTCGATACCTGAAACTGATACTTGAACATCCAATGCCTTGACCCTCAGAATCAGGCATAAGTGGGACCGCCTTCAAATACTGACCTATGTTAACTTGTGAAACCCTCCCCCCCCAAAAAAAAAAAGGATCATACCGTTTCCAACGTACATGTGCACACGCGCAGCTAAATTCATTACATCGCGTTACGTCACGTTACTTTACGTTGCATTGCATTGGATTGCATTGGATTATATTCAGTATAGATGACACGTACTGTACTGGTTGGTGGTTTTAACATGTTTTAACCATCTTGAAAAATATGAAAGTCAGTGGGAAGGATTATCCCATATATAATGGAAAATAAAATTCATGTTCCAAACCACCAACCAGTACATTTGCACTTCTATGGTCATGTTCACATGTGAATATAGCTGCGCCGAGGTGCAAAGCTGCCGGAAGGTTTCAGTTTCACCGATTCGTTGATGGATTCATGTCCCAACAGGCCACAATAGCCTTGGCCAGGGCCAGGCTGGATGAACGCAGCAAGGTCCCCAAGGGGATGAAAAACTCTGGCAAACATGGTCTTTTGCAAGGTTGGATGAAACGGAACATTCATCAAAACTACAAAGATGATCAAAGAATCAAAGATGATAAAATGCAAAATAACTCAAAATGAATCAGAATGATCCCCCAAACAGTCCCCAACACTGGTGAAAGTACTGCTTCGTGGAGGGCTGAGGCTGACCTGGGGCCTCATCGAGAAGATTCGCAAATTCGCACACTGTGCCGGCGTGCAGATTCCGCATGTGTCGAGATACAATACAACACCCGTTGGGCATTACACTGGAAAGATCTGGAAAGAAGAATCATGAGTAATCAACAGAATCTGGAAAACACACCGTTGACTTTTTGTTCATCAAATCTTTGTTCTGCAACTCCAAGTTCCATGTCGTCCAGACCTCCGCCACAACGGATCGCAGGATTCGCCAGGTGACCAAGTCCTTCCCAGGTGGATTCTCTGGTGACATAGCGAGGCTTCCTGAAGACCACAGCCTCCAAGCAGTGGCGAGAACCCAGCCCGGCCCAGCCCTGGCCCAAAATGTGTCCTGAAAAGATCAAATCGGTAAAAGCGATTTGGTGACTTGGGGTCTCATGTTTGGGCCTCATGCTTGAAACCCAGTCCCATGCCCCTTGAGACCCCTCAAGTTCAAGATGCTCAACACTGCTTGCCTCATCCTCGGAATCATCTTCCAGGCTATAACCTGCGGCAGCAAGGTGACTGGGCCCCCGATCTTGGGAAAGCCATGGCATCATGGCTGAACGGGTGGTCCAACAATGGCTGCCATGTTGGCGTCTGCCAAGTTCACTAGATAACTTGCTAAGGAGAAACACTTGCAGCGGCTTCATGAGGTTTCTAAACTTTGACAGCGAAGCAAAAGCTTGCTCAAATGTCTTTTCCTGGGAACCTTTGAGTAAACCTACTCTGTAATGGTCATACAGTCATACAGGAACCGTTCGACCACATCATCTGGAGCAATGGTTGTACATGGTTGTACTATATAAATAATTAATGCGAAAAGTTCCGCAGCTTTAGAACAAAGAAAGCAGGAAGAACCCATGTTTCTTAAGGGCGGCTCATGACAAACCGGTCCGTAGCATCCCTGGGTTTTGAGGTCCCAACTGAACCGATCTGGCTGGGTCTTGGTTGGCGCCCGCGGCCTCAGATGTGAAGCGGCGAGGACAGGGCGTCTCCGGGACTCCGGGAGTGCACTGGGCATCCCCGCCATGGTGTCCAAGCTGAAGCGCTTTGCAAACTGCAAGGCTGGTGGGCTGTCGCGGGCTCAAAAACCATCAACCGGCTATGAGTCAGGTCTCCACGCATCAATATGGCTCTTATCCTTTACTTGGCTCATCCAAGATTCCTTCGAAAACTGCCAAAACTCTTCCAAAATCACGGTTCCAAGTGTTCCCACTTTGAATTTCGATCCAGTTCCAACCCCAACTGCCCCACCTCCACCGGTCCCTCCTTTGGCGACCCAGTGCCGACTCCGCTCGGGTGCTGAAGCTGCCCTGCATCGAGGCGACGGAGCCGTCCAGGTCCAACGGGAGGCGACGCAAGGACTGGCGCCGGTGGAAGGTGAAGGCCAGCACCTCGGGCGCCATGGCGGCTATGGCTATGGGCTGGGCCCACTTTTTGTGTCTATGGTGGAACGATGTGGAAGGGTTGGAAAAAAATAAGTCACCAATTTGAAGGTTGGGCCCAATTCACCAGAAACATGTGGCAATTTTTTGACCGGGTCAATGGATTTTAGGGAAAATCTACAGGCAACCTTTACCATCAACATGACGGTTTTCCTTGCGACCGATTTTTCGAGAGAATGATGGGCAGTGATACTGCATAGTATGAATGGAGATGCAACCTGCAGACGCGTATATCATAAGTGAAGCAATGAGAATTGCAGTGGCATAAAAAAAATACTATACTCATTAGATGAGCAAAATGGGTATGTAAACCAACAAATCAGATAGGAAAATAACCAAAAAGTATTCAACAGGCAGGACCATGGACGGTGACGAAGTGATTCATGGGGTGCATGTAGCCCATGCCAGTAGGTGTATTTATGGAATTGGATGGGCTGAAGTAATCAAATCTTCCATTTATAGGCTAGACTCTGTGATGTCGGCATGGTTTTTGGGCATGGTTTTAATATCCCCAAATGGTGAATTGGGCAAATGGGATGGCATTTGATTTGGTTTCCCAGATTAGAACATGGTCTGCATACATACATATACCAGGGAGCCCTTGGGCGCACGCTCCATTCACCAAATCTACGACGTGTAAAGATCCACAATTTTTGGAGGTTTCGACCTCGTTTTGTATGAGAGATGTTGCCATTTCCACAGCCACCTGGGTTTCCCATGGTTGCCGGCAGCCAGGCACTGGTCGCTTGATGCGCCCCGATGCCACTGCTTTGAAAGACTTGTCTCCTCAGGCATCAGATGAATCGCCTGGGATGATCCTCCCCAAAAACTTCAAGGCTGGGAGTCATGTGGAAACATGTGGAAACCCTAAAATCCAGAGAAGGATTTTTTTTTGCATATCATGAGCGAATAAAAGGGAAATATGCTCTCTCTGTGAATTTGAACACTATGCCGCATGTCTCACCCTGGCAGTAGCATTCCTGAAACCTTTGCAGCTACCATTAAGCAAGCGTGAGTCAAGGGAAACAGATTAACTGTTTCCTGGGGGATTGATGATGGTGGTGATGATGATGATGATGATGAGGATGAGGATGAGGATGAGGATGAGGATGAGGATGAGGGTGAGGATGAGGATGAGGGTGAGGGTGAGGATGAGGATGAGGGTGAGGATGACCGCCGTCTGTTGCAAGGCAAATCCTGGACACTGAACATCCGATCATTATTCTCAGTTGAACAAAATGACAAGGGCCTGGATCTTGTCCACAGGACACTACAGAACTAGGCAAAAGCACTGTCAAAACAACTTGTGCATGCTTAGTATAGTAGTTTTTTCACCACCCAGCTGCCCACGGCGTCCCCCCATGAAAAACGAGTCTCGTGCACGGCATTTGGTGATGTTAATCAAGTGGATGGAAGGCTCAGTGCTCTCCGCCTGTGCGATCCCAGGCATGGCTGCAGGCCCCATCTTGGAAGCATCAGGAGGGTTTGGTCGATCCGTGTGATATTTCGGACCCGTCTCGAACCAGCGTCTTGCCTGGGGTGTCGCAGTAGTCTGTGAACAATGGCCATCAGATTCATCTGAGAGCTGCTGAAGCCTGGGCATGGCTAGGCAGATTGTCTGGCATGAGTTCGGATTGGCATGAACGGACGCAACGATAGTGTCTGTGACCGTGACGGTGACGATGATGATGAGGATTGGATTGGATTGGATTGGATTGGATTAGATTAGATTAGATTGGGTTGGATAATGGCTATCATTGTTACTGTTAGCATCATGAGGAGGAGGGGTATGTCTAGATCGTGATAGATGATGCATGAAGGATGGTGGATACTGGATGGTGGCTGTTGGTGGATTAGTGGTGGTGGATGACCGTGAAAATCAGGGTGGCGGGTTTTAAGGTTGAAACCCGCTGACGATAACTTCGAACCCGCTGTACACGGGATAAAGTTTTGATGTATAAACTAAGATAGTATACATAAAAACTTGTTTGCACGGGCGACGGGCACACAGATGATATAAAATATATATTGTACATTATACTATATACAGCATACAAGTATAGTGAGCATGAATATGTAATATGTATAAATGGGTTTCCATTGGAACACCAAAGTACTAGTAACACATAGCAACACCCGAATCCAATGTCAATCGGTTCCCCGCCTTCGAGTCTTAGCTCGAAGTAACGCCACGCGGCTCTGCATCTTTGCTTGTACAAAATCCCGGGCCTTGCAGGAGTCAAAGGTGCTCAGATCAAGAGGGTGATATGAATCCTTGTGCTTGAAGATGCTTGAAAGAAATCTTTCACCACGGGTAATGTAACCCACCAACATGTAACAGGACGCCTTCTCAAACGCACGGACTGGGATGAAACATCCCTCATGCTGTCGTATCACACCGCACGCAACATCGTCACCAATTGTCTGCAAACCTTTTTGTATCACGATGGGGCCCCACGGACAGAAAATATGATTTCGGAGGCGCCTCTTCCACAATTTCCATGGCTCCCAGACCAGGTGAAAGTGTCTGCGGCATCAACGCCATGGCACTGCAACATGGACTCTACAGCCCGAAGATCCTGAGGATGGAAGGTTTGAAAGGCGGTGTGAGACAACAATGTTATGTTCAACTGCAAGTTATGTTCAACTGCAAGTTGGTGCACACGTTCATCCCTCGGTTGCCTTGGTGTTCTCCATGATTATGCTTAGTTGACGGGCAGTGCAGAGAATATTTTGCCTTTGTAGCATGCACGTTGCTTTCTTTACGCCGCAGTTGCAATCAACGCGCTTTTGGAATCAATTTCAATGCCTCCTGCGCGGTTCAATTGATGTTGCCCGTCCAGCTTGAACCAAACCAAGGTCCCGTTGAGTGCCACAAGGGCGTGTTGCAAATGTTGCGCAACAAACGGGACACTTCACACTCACATACATTCATCAAAATCAGCCAAAAACAGCTAAGCACGCATTTGTTCAAAGGCGTGTTGTTGCCGTACCCTTTTGCTCAACCAAAGGCCTGCTACTGCATCTTCAATTTAATCTGTCATCCCACATCATCCCATAGTGTTGGATCAAGAATTTCCACGGCCACACACCCCATCCGTCCCGTGCAGCCGAGCCCATGACTCACCGACGGATCAGCGGGCAAAGGTCCTTGCATCTGAACTGTCCACCCCGTCCCAGTGGTCATCACTGATTGTTCACACTGTCCAAACCACTGGTGTTTGAGGCCTGGGAGTCCTGAATTGAAACGTTACCTGCACCGCACTTGAAAACAGTCACACAATGGCATAAGCGACGGTCTCACGGCCAACAGACTTTTACAATGTCAGTAACCCGTTGAAAATTCGTTGGAACAAATTCAGCTTCTCTGATGTGTTTACGTGTTTGTCCAATCATGCAACGAAAACATCAGGCGGAGCACTGTAACATACCACCAGATTGTGTTTATCAACAAGTCCCCAATTAAATTTGCCAATTTTGATGACATAATTTTCAGATGCACCATGATGCATCTGTATGCCCCTGGCCTCGTCGTCCATGCCAAGCCTTGGCTGATGTGCACAAAAAGTGCACACAAACGATCAAATTGTGGGACATTAGTACTGTGGACCGTGGATATGACACCCTTTATCAGACAACCAAAAAATATTGAAGTTTAGTATCACTTGTAATCACCACGTCATGCCAACAGTCTACATTCTACATTGGGGCGCCCCACATGAACTCAGGGCGTTCCGCGCGTGCCACAGCCGTCATGGCCCACACTTCACCTGCACAAAAGGCACACCGGCTGGCACCCACCAAGGTGTTGCAACACGTTCATGGCAAAAATGTTAATAGAAAAAATTGGTCCAATTGTCTGCATGTCCCAGAAACAAACCCAAAGAATATCGCCAACAACCAAGGGGAACAAAAAATAAACAAATATGCATCACCCAGCCATTCTTACTCTGGAGTCGCGGCGCGCGAACCGCAAACGTGTTTTATGACAACGACCCTGCAGGAAGTATTTGCAACATTTTGACAACTACGGGGGCAACATCGTTTCATGCATTCAACGGTGCCATATTTTTCCATTTGCTACCACGGCTTATCTGCACAATTGCAAAAAATGCAAAAGTACTACTGCGCTCCTCCTCCATACAAACATTAGAAGTGTCTGCGTATTTTTTAAAATAAATTCACGTTTAGTTGCAGGCATGGCGTTTGTGGTAATTGTGGTGGCGGGAGTGGGAGTGGGAGTGGGAGTGGGAATGGTAGTTGTAGTGGTACTGGTGGCGGTAGTGGTAATGCCAATGGCCGTGCCAAAGGCAATGGTACTGGTAACGATATTTGTAGTGTTTGAAATCATGACATATCAGCAATACTGGACATACTCGTATACCGGAAAGCTTAGTTGCGCAAACGGAGGGAGGCACAAGACCGGCAAGAAAGAACATGTTTGTCAAAACAAATACGTAGATATCTTCGAAAACATATGCACGACAAACGCGATAACAGGGTTGCACCATTTTGGATGCTGCTGCTTGCTGAAAGCACTGCATAAGCAATATGGGTCAACTATATGCTACACCACCACATGGGCTGCATCATTCTTCAGGGTTTGATGTCTGCACATATTGTAAGCAAGACACTTCAACGAGTTCGGGAGCTCAACCCACTCACGTGGAAATTTGTTGGTGAACCGGTGGAGGTCTTAACTGGCCATAGCAAACACAAATGTCTCGGCAGAATCTTGGTGGGAGATTTGAGTTCGCGGGCTCCAGCTGAGGTAAACTCGTGGGAGCAAGCCATCGATCCAAATGGGCAAAACCACGAACAGACAACAGAATTGTTTTTTGAAAATTTCATCGCTCCACCGGTTGATTGGGTGTATGGCATTGCTGCATTTAGAAAGGGTCATTCATCCGTCGCATTGTTGCTCTCCAATCCTCTAAATCCAAAGTTGCCCATCCCACAATTGTTCGGAACATTTTGCGTTGGGTAATGTCCAATCGCTGCACATGAGATGTGCTGCATCGTCGTCAAATAAAACAAAACCCGTAGGAGGCAAAACTGAATCGAAAAAATTGCGACGCAGTATCAGACAAACCCGTTTGTCGGTTAAGACGTGTTTGTGTGATTTTGTGTGTAAAATTTCGCACATGCAATTTCCAGCATTAAAAAAAAAAACATGGAAAACTGGTGTTACTCATGTTATTTCTGCTGGTAATACGACTCATGCTAGTCCTATCGGTGCTGCTGAAATCATTTCGTCATGCAAGACTCGGTCCGTGGGCGGTGAAAATGCATTGGATCAGGAAGTCTGGGCCCGTCATGACAGCGAGTAAACCCGCTCACCTACCCTAGGAGTAACAATACCGGTGAAACGAGTACTGCTAGTTATACGGGTAATGCAATATGAAGGAACATATGCCTTTATAATTGAGTTTACATGGCGCGCTTCTTCGACAACACCATTGTTCGGACATGTTGCAGGTTACGTTATAAGTTGGAGGGTTGGGACGGGGTAGGGCAGTCAGGTGCACATGTGATGCTTGTTTTCCCACTTTCAAAAAGAAAACAACACTTTGTCACTTTGTTCATATTTTTGTTTTTCACCTCCAACAGACTCTTGATGCGGCAGTTTTGATGTTACATGATTTTACCATGTGGTTTCCAACACGTTTTTGATGCCACGGCCTTGAAGATCTTGAAGGGGTTTCATGTTTTTCAGGTCAAACCAATAGTCTCTTAATGCGACGCTCTCGAATAATTCCTTCATGGAGTTTCCAACATGCTATAGCTGCTACGATTGGTGGAAAAATTTGAAATCGGTTGACGAAACTGTGGGGGAAAAAAATGTTAGTGGCGAATCCGGTTCGTTTTTGAACACTTGGGTGCCAAACGTTGGCGAACGAAAGCGTGCAAAGGCCAAACAAGGCGAAACGGAAACCACAAGTGCTGGGCAACATGTGAACATTAACATGGGCGAGGTGGATTGAGAAAACATATATATATATATATATGATTTCGTGGCGTGACTTGGATGGAATATGATGGAATGAATTGGATGCTGGCATGCGTTGGGCGGTTTGAGTCGCACAGTTTGAGTGATAACTCGTCATTGTGCCAGTGTTGTGGTGACACCACTGCTTAGTTTCAACCAATGCTGATTAAGCAAGATGTGATAGGTGTCGTTTAGGAAGAAACCATGATATCTGAACAGATATGAAAACGTTGAGTTCATCGCCATCCCCGTCAAACCCTTACTGGGTTTCAAAATGTTTCAAGGACGTAAATTTGGTTGGATGGGCCGAAGGTCGGGACTACTTCAAAACTGTCTGGGAACGGGGATGAAACCGAATGTAGTGTTATGATGTGTTGCGTGACGCGATTGCACAGCGCAGTAGAAGAAGTAGCGAAGGTCAGTAGGTTGCTGCTACCTGTCTCGGAACAAAGGTTTGTATATTGCAATTGTATCATATGGGCTGACGGCTGACGGATCGGAAAATCAAAGCCCCTGCAAAAGTTCCCTGAAAACTGCGTTCTGCAGTGGATAATTGAATTTTCCTGCATTTTGTTTCGCGCAAAAAAAAGAATGCGATGTCGTTGTTTGGCGGTATCAAATCGTTCCGATTTGGGCGTCAATCCGTTCTGATATTTGGCTAAGACCCGAAATGACTCCATCATGTTTATTCCATTTCCAAAAAGTTGGCAGGGTCCGACCTGATTTTTCTAGCTTAAGCACAGACATGTAATGTTCGCGAGGTTGACACTTGCAAAGGCGTTCCTGTGGTCTCAGCCCGGATCTTGTAAAAAATCACTGCGAGCCTGGGCGTGACACCCGATTTCCTAAAACAAATGCGAGTTCAACTTGAATAACGGAAACCAATCGTTTTTCTCGTCAAAATATGAGCGGTCAATCAAACACCGGCTAGTCTTGCACCCCGCTCAAAAGACATTGTAATTTGCAAGGTGTTCGCGATAAACATATGTATATGTTCTGATAACTTTGTCGGAAATGATACGATAGGTAAATATTTTTTATTTTTTTGTTGGCGCGGTTGCATGCCCAAAAGAAATTTTACATGTTCAACGTGTTTTGCTCAACGTGTTGGATCCAGGGAAAAAATCCGAATTCCATGTAGGTATCTTGTTCTCAAAACCTCGTTTTCTGCTCGTTCTGACCAGGTGGTGCCTGCTGATGTGAATGATTTTGCTTTTCCCTGGGAAACGTAAAATCCCAAACAAATTGACAAATATAATCGTCTCGTAAACATGACTCACGAATTCTTTACGCTAGGGACAACCATCTGGTTTCTCGCTGGCATACACTCCACACGCCTTCCTCATCCTCTCAAGTTGCTTCAAGCCCCCTTCGGGTCCATTTTAGAACCCAAAAATCGTTTCTAAAATTGAATCTACAGGGGGGGTCTGGGAACCCCAAATTCTTGGCAGCTATATTGGTTCTAAAATGGTATCCTCCACCCTTAAAACGTCGTTAAAAAATATTTTTAAAATTCTTGTTGAAACCATTGGCATTTCAGGAAAAAAACGATGAGGAAATCTGCGCCTCAAAAAAATAGATCAACATGAGGCGAATCAAAAAAAAACACGGCAAAGAGCGCTCCATGATACTCCACAACATTTGTCAGTGGGCGGCGGCCACCCATTTCCCTTGCGCTGTTTGTTTAATTTTTATGCAAACATGTCCAACCAGATAAATTTTCAATAAAACAGCAAACTCCTACATGCAGTTTCTTCAAAACAATAATGTTTTTGCGTCAAAGGAGAAAAACAAGGAACGAATCATCACATGACGGTTTGTCAAAATGTCTGTTCCCGGTTTTGTTGATAAATCGCAATTCCATGCGTGCCGCCTCATGTTTGCCTTTAAAAAACATGACCTACCTTGATGACGTGAAAACGTGGAAATTCTTCGTTACCTTTGGAAATCTTTCTCTAACCACAGGAATCGGCTAACGCACGTCGGTTTTCATTCGCTGTCGCTGGTACTATCTCCTGAACTGTGTGTCTCTGTGTGTGTGTGCCTCTCTGAATGCAATATGCTTCTTGACATGCCTCCTGATCTACGCTGTTTCCTTACTGTAAGTTACAAAAGCGTGAACATGGCTGTGCCCTCTGTATGGGCTGCGGGTGGACTGGGGCATGTACTTGCAATTTTCGCTAGCGCGTTGCTAGCGGCGATCTAGCGCGGAAAAACCGTAAAAAAAATCGAGAATTTGGGAATATGTGGAAACTGACAGACTTGTAAGAGAAGCTGGCAAGACATTCACGACATGGAGATCATGGCTGTCAATCAAACCTAGCGCAAACCTAGCGGGTTTGCTAGCGCTGCCTTGCAGAATTGCTGAATTTAGTTCCGTGCCGCCTCATAACGAAGAGGAAAAAACAGTAGACCCAGATGAATTATCAACAACCAATACTAAACTTCTAAACAACTATTTTTGACAAATGGTCACATGCGGAAACAGCAAGCAGCTGTGTGTCGAACTACAGCTGTCGCAGCTGTCACATCTGTCACCAAAAAAAATAAGTTCGCGTACCTTCATCAGAACACCACTGACTGGACACTTGTTTTTGTGGGATATTTGGGGCTGGGCAGCTATGGCACAGAGATGTCACCCTAGACAATGCACCTTGAGGATTTATCTTTGGGAAAGGTTCTGGAATGGTTTCCTGCTTGGCCAAACGTGTGAAATACCAGCTACTGCAAGGGGAAACCATTTTAGACCATTGTATGCTTAGATATGTGACATATGAGCATTTGTTGCACAGGCACTGGTCTACTTGTACAACAACAAAACATGGCAGAAACACTTTTTTAGCTGATTTGATTATCTCTAAATTCATTGGCATTGGGTTGTGCCTGCCTACCTACCCCTGGGGGTATTTATCTGTGCGAAGGGTTCTGGAATGGTTTCCTGCTTGGCCACACGTGTCAGGCACCAACTACTGCAAGGGGAAACCATTTTAGAACTGTTGTATGCTTGGAAGCTTAGATAGTTTAGACAGCTTAGATAGCTTAGATGCTTAAATAACTTAGATAGCTTAGATACCTTAGATGGCTTAGATAGCTTAGATAGCTTAGATTCGTTCATTTGTTGCACAGGCATTCGTCTACTTGTAGAAGGACAAAACATAGCAGAAACAGTTTTTGCTGACTTGATGATCACCGAAACTCATTGGCAATGGGTTGCACCTGCTAACCTACCCCTGGGGGATCCTGGAGGTATTTATCTGTGCGAAGGGTTCTGGAATGGTTTCCTGCTTGGCCAAACGTGCGAAATACACCGTGTGAAATACCAGCTGCTGCAAGGGGAAAAAAGTTTAGACCATTTGCATGCCTACGTAACTGTCATTTGTTCATTTGTTGCACAAGCACTGGTCCACTTGTAGAGGAACAAAAAATTGCAGATATTGTTTTTTTCCGCACTGGGTATGTTTGCTCTTTCCTGCGACGAGCATCCCGCAGAGCTGCCCCGGCGAAGGTCCCCCCCCGTTGCCTTGGCGCCCCTTCTCGCGTCAGTGGTGATACGAGGGTCGTATCCACTGCGAGTTGGTTCCCCCCCCACAATGGCAGGCCACTTGCTATGACCTCGATCCTTCTGGCATCTTGGCGGTCGAGGTGTTCGAGGTTGAGGTCGACCACGCGGGTGTTTGTTGTTACCCGTGCCCCCGCTTTATGCGGGCTGCTGCCGGTTCCAGGGCCCCCCCCGTGGTCGCAAGAGTCCAGACTGCGCACAAGCCGCGCGGTGGTCGCCAAGAGGGTCTAGAGCGCGACGGCACCGGCAGAAGCGGACAGATAAGGGCAGTGGCAATCGGAGGCGCCGCAAGAGAAGCAGGCGGAAGAGGTGGCCCAGGTAGCTGTTGTCATAGTGGTATGGGATTGCGGTGAATGCTCGGCTGGCGTGTGGCCCTGTTTGTGATTCGAGCAGCGCTTGGCTCCGGGGGTCAAGCCGATCGCGGACTTCAGCTCGGAATGCTGTGTGTGTGGCTGTAGCTGCTTTTGTTAATTGATGAGGACCCTGTTCATGTTCCATCAACCCTCACAGCATGCACGTGACACTCACTCCTTTTTCAGACTTGAGCCAAAATGGCTACGCAAAAGTACACTTCTGATTTGTGCGTGTCGCTTTCCATCTTTCACACTTCTCGATTTGTGCTCTCTCCATGCGTTCCATTCTTGAGTCATGCTAATCTTCTCCGTATTGTTCCTGGCCTCACATGTCACAAAAAACACAAGCAAGACAGCAACACTCCTCCTCAGGAGCTATACGGAGGATTGGACACACCCAACGCCGCCCTTGCAAGCTCAAGAGCGTTTCTCCCAAGAACTTTGGTCAAAGCATCTGCCAAAATCGGTTGGCACTGAAGGTAAGAGTTAAAAAGAATTAACTCAATGGTTTATTGTTGTGGTCTGGTGGCTTGCGCAAAGTCACATGACCCCAGCAATTGAAACGAGGTTTAATTGCACGGTTTCTGTTGCATGTTTCAGCTGCATGGGTTACCCTCAACGACATCGTCGACAATTGAACCAAGATTTAATTGACTTCCTATTCCTTTAATGGATTCCACTCACTCAATGCTGCTGGTCCGCGTGCCCCAAGAATTAAATCCAGATTTAATTCTCCAGAACCCATTGGCTGCCAGCCTCCCCTTCGCCACAATTCTGACAAGGCACTCGCATCTCCACTCTACCAGCCAGGAATCAAACATAATAGCAATCGAAAATAATTACGTTCAATAGGTCAACCATGCGCATGAAAGAATTTTCGAATCAGATGGTGGGTTCTCAAGGGCAGCAGACGCCGCCGTATAATAGCCTTGAATGAAACTCCCAACGAAAAATTAAATCTGGATTTAATTGTCCTGTATCAGCCGTGAACGCAGATTTTTCTCAGCGAAGGGCAGGTTACACTAGCTAGAGTCTGGCTCGGTTGCGTCGAAGTGTCTGTCCATGAAACATGCCAAAACCACCTGGCTGCCCCAAAGGACTCATGGATGATGCTGGGCGGCTCGATGATTCGGATGTACTCCTCTGGCTTGTCAGAGACGGTGTCCGTGACCAGATGAATTGGACGTCTTAACAAGTGAGCCGCACCCAGCAGTGACAGCTCGTCCCCCCAGCTTCCTGACTTGGCCAGGTTGGAGCAGTATGAATCATACCTGCCAGCAAATTGCCCCTGGATTCGATCTTGAAAGAAACGGGCCAGTGGCCGTAGATATTGAACCACAAAGCTCCTCATCTCCATTGCACTCATCGGAACATCTGCAGAGTAGACCAAAGCATCAAATTGGCAGTTCCCTTCGGCAGGGACAGGGACACGACGAAGACCCAAAAGCCGCAACCTGGCGTCGACCCGTCGGCAGCTCTCTTGCATGCGGGCAGACAACTCTTCATTCTCTGTCTGCGACAATTGGATGGCAAGGTCCAACTGCGCCTTTTCCCAGGATTCCATGGCGCTTTGCGCCGGCTCCTTCACGGATTCAAAGAGCGTCAAACTCCATTTGGGCGAACTTGCGATCTGATGGTGGTGGAAGCAAAAAGCGCCATGAGATCTCTTGCGTCTGCAGCGCTTGCCGCTGTTGGTTGCGGCCATGCACATAGACTCTTTTTCCTGCCCAACGGAATCCAAAATAGGGAGCTCCTTTCCTTCCACCAAACCACCTGGTAGAAGCTCTTGGGTTTGGGAATTCATCGGAACAACTTCTACTGCTTCAGCGCCTGCAACGCCAGAGGACAATGCCTCAGGAGCTCTCAGCATTGCTTTCATCTTGGCTGATCTCTTGGCCTGCGGCCGCTTCTTTGCTCTTTTCTTGGCAGCAGCTGACAACGTCCCCAGGGGTATGGGCTGGGATGTTTCCTTCGCAAGGAGAGCCCGGATGAACAAGCAATGCTCACTCCATCCTGCACCCGAAACAAAATGCTTATGACCTTCGTACAGCTGGTTCTCCGTCGACACCCAAACGGTGCAATAGTTTTCTCTGAGATGCAGATGGCGCAGGCAATCATAAGCACCTGGCCATAGGACAGTGGGATGACATATTTCCCTTTATCAAAAACGAGCAGGTACAGTAGGGAATGCTGCTGATTAGAAGGAAAACCGATTGGGCGAGCAAACGTCATAGCTATTAGATACTCCGTATACGATGACACATAAAGCCGTTCCTGCCATGAGTATCCCACATAAATCAAAAGGTATTGGAAAAGACACAATTCTTTAATAAACGGATGAAGGATAATCACAAGATGATATGTTGCCTATCACAATAACAGAGGTCAATCCTAAATGGCCCACCAGACCTGTCTGAAGCGAAGCAGCTGCGCGGGCCACTTCCTCCTCAGAGGTCGCAAGAGCTAAACGCAAGGCACTGGCCATTTCCTGCTTTCTCTTGGCTGCGTGCTGCAGCGAATATTTCGGCAAGACGTACACCAAGCGGGCAGAGCAGCCGTTCTGAAGAGCCAGGGAGCACACAGAGGCAATAAATGTCCCGGTTGGCCCATGACGCCTGAAATGCTTCAGAATTGCTTCTAAATCCAGACGCTTTCGTTGCACTAACTGAGGCTCGTCGTCCGAATCAAGGCTGTCCACATCCTGCAACTGAGCTTTGTCAGACACCTGAAGACTTTGCCAAGGCTGGGCCACCTTGGCCAGCATCTTGTCATAGTCCCCGTTCCGCAACTTGGAAGTAAGGGCAGCAGCCACATCCAGAATAACAGAGGCAGGATCTTTTTGGCGCATCCTGCGCTGCAAAAGATAAAACAATCCAATACCCGGGAAAACCACAAACGAAAAAAATTGCCCCACAACAAACATTTTGCCACCACGGTCCCTGGCTTGAGAAGACCTTTGATAGTCCGCCAGGCGCGTTCTTGGGCGTTGGAGCTGTAAGTAGTGAAACCAACAGGAACAATGCCCAAACCTGTCCGCCAAGCAGCCGTAAAGCCATCAGGGCCTTCTTGCAGGAGGTTTTCCTGAATGTAGAGCGCCATGTCTGGTTCGTGCCAATCGGACTCTTTTTCTGTGCCTCGAAGTCTAGAGATCACAGACGACCAAAAGACGTTGAATTCCAAAGAGCTCGGCAAAAATGCTGACTGCAAAAGGAATGTAACCAGGACATTCAGGAACTCATCATTCCGAAGACGTCTTTCACCAGAAGAGGGACATCTTTTTCTCGCCGCCTGCCGCAGATTCATTTTGCTGTGCTGAAGACAGCGGTGAAGCCGGATATGTTTCCATTCCTCATTCGCCTGACAGGGGAAACTTTCAGATTACATTGGTACATACTCAGAACCAAACACAGTTACCATGCTAAACATTATGTAACCACTTTTCAATGCTTCTGCCTCTACCAGGTCCTGCAAACTCTCAAAGCAAAAGCAATCCGCAAAACCGTCTGTCACAGAAATCTCATGCTCCTTCATGAGCTGCATGTACTGCTTAAAGAGATCTTGATGGGCCTCACGGTCCTCTGATTTGGCAACCATGAGTAACAGTGGTAGCATGCGTACATGAGGACGGTGTTTCGGAGCTTCTACCAAACCAAGGGGGCCTATGCCTCCAAGAGCTAGACCATGTTGCCCAATGCCGAACGTGAAGTCCATGCAAAAGGAAGACAAGTGCTTGTTGCCTTCAAGCCACTTTTTCATGGGCGCTGCCAAGAAACCAATGCGCACCTGCTCCGAGGTGCACACAGCACCAGGACAGATTGCAATCTGTTCAGGCGGCTTGGCAATAAAGTCTTGGAATGAGCCGATGCAATCAGCAATCACCTTCATGTGCAAATCTTTCTGCTTGGGTCTGTAGTTGCTGATCAAGTATGCCGGGGTCTGTGCTTCTCAGGAATCTCCTGCTTTTCCATCAAAAGAAGGGCACCGCCTGGAGTTGCTTCTTGAGCAAACTTCTTGGCATGCTTTCTACGCATGACCTGCTCGTTCTTCTCTTCCACATGGTCACCCAACTGTTGCACTTCCATCTGGCTATCAGAAGAAGCATAGCTGAAAATCCATTCCTTGGTGCAACTCTTGCATTCGATGCACTTGGCAATATATGTCCTTCTGCCCTGGAAACTGGATGTGCTCAAAGGTGAGTGAGTGTGACCTTTGCCTTCCAACCACTTGCCGGCAGCTTCACGGAGAGTTCCTTGCAACTCGACAACCTCACATGGCTGCCACTGCTTTCGTTTCCGCCCTCGCTGAGACATTGAGCCGCAGCCACTGCCAAAGCAAACAATGACCCCAAGCCCCTGAAAACTCCAAGGTTCTCTCCTAAACTAAGGAGCTACTAGCTGATCCCTGGCATCCTGTATGACAATGGTCAATCACACGAGAAAAACAATTAAATCCTGAGTTAATTGGGGAAGCACGTGGATCAGAAGCTCATTGCAAAAATTAAATCCAGATTAAATTGGTATGTGAAGGGCATGAGAACATCATCGAAACAATTAAAACCAGATTCAATTGGATACGGTGGTGACTAGAAAAAGACAGCTTACCCCCTGGTCCAACGCAATTAAATGTGGATTTAATAGGAATGAGACTGTAGGTCATATGAAAACAATTAAAACTGAAGTTAATTGTTGTTGGGACAGTGGAAAGACTCTCAGTCTTGCATCAATTAACTCAGGAGCCAATTGAAATTGACTCCTACCTTGATTGTTTTTCGCCAAAATCAGCCTTCCAGATCGATATTTCAAATCTATGCTGTGCTCTGTCAATTGGTCTCGAAGGGCAGCTGCGCGAATGCAAAAATGGCGATTTCTCCATGTGGTTACTGTGTGCAAAATGTTTGCGATGCAACCTGTGTTGTCCGACAAAAGTTCAACCCTTAAGGTGCTCTTGCCTATGAGAGATTTCATCAAGTTCAAGATTGCAATCGCTGTCACACAACCCAAACCTGCTGCCTGGATTTCAGCCTCAACTGCGCTTTGAGCAGCTAGGCTTTGCCTGGTAGAGGACCATTGGATTAAACATCCATTGAGCATTGCAACTACGCCAGACCGACTCTTACTTCCACCTGGCGCAAAACTGGCATCTGCACTGACACTAAGTTCAAAGGCATCCGCTTGAACTGCTTGACCTTGAAACACAATCCTATGCTCAACCGTGCCTGCAAGGTATCTCCAAACTTGATGACACCATTCCAACACCTTCTTTGGATGAGTCACAAGCAACGACCCCAATGCACCTACACACGCCGCAATGTCAGGCCGGCTTCTTTGCGAAGCCCAAAGCAGTGCACCGATTTCCTGCTGCCCTTTGCGGATCAGCACTCTGTACTCTTCAGAGTCACGGTTTGCAAACTCAGGCTGCATACCTTCCTGCACGGCTGGAAGTGACAAGCTGCCTCGAACTTCTCCAAACCCACGCTCCTTCAAGCAACTACGGATGTAGGGACATTGGTGGCATTCCAGATTGCCAGCTGCATTGAAACCAAGCCTCATTCCCAAAAATCCCAGCTCACTCTGAACATTGAGGGACATCTTTGCCTCATCCGTGTAGGACTTGTCGGCAGGGTTGAGGAGAGTTCCTTGATCCTTAACCTTCCAGATCAACTTCACTGCGTTCCTAATCGCAACAAGGTTCGCAGCATGTGCGGCAAGCAGAATGTCATCAACGTAGAACAGGGCATAGCCTACAATCCCCCCCGAGTCACAAACCAACACCCAAGCATGTTCTTGCGAGTCTGCTGGCTGAAAAACACAAGCTTTTCCATCAGGGAGCTGCACTTCAACACCTCGGACCGTGTCATTTCTAGTCTTGGTCCAACATTTTGGAGATACACGCAAGCCATACAAAGCCTTTCTCAAGACCCATAGCTCAGTTTGGCCTGCAAGGCCGAGCCGTTTCAACAGTCCTGGCGGTGACACTGTCACTGGCGGCTCATCCTTTGGCAAGGAAGCATAGAGAAATGCTGCGTTCACATCAAGAACTGTGAGGCAAAACGTTTTCAGCACTACCATTGCTAAAATACAACGAGTGAAAAAAGCGTCTGGTACTTCGGCGCGATTTGTCATTTCTTTCTGGGCATTCTGCTGCATGTTTCCGCAAACGACAATTCGCGCCTTGTGGTTGTAGGGATTGTCAAAATCTGTGGCATCAGGCTGTGGTTTCTTGACCAACACAAGCTTTGTGGGGAGAGGCCTTGCCAACCTGGGATTGCTGGCCTTCCAAACATCATACTCCTCCTGAGTGATGCGGTCAAATACAGCCATGGCTTCCAAGTTTGACATTTCTTTATCTATACCCGCCAACCACTTCGATTTCTCAGGCTCGGAAGCATGTTCAACTTCTTTCGGGTCAACAGGCACGTTAACCAGCTCATGAGTTTCAAGGTTGGCGGCCGCACTTTCCAGTCTATGCATTTCGGTTTCTGCTGCTGGGTCTGGAAGCCAATATTTTGGAGATGCTGTAGTGATTGCTGCTTCTGCCTGCGCGGAAGCAACTGCGGCTGATGCAAGTGGCTCTGGCAAGGAAGTGGCGAGGATACCAAACAGCGTGACACCGCGCCACTTTCTACTGTCTGGCAAGAGATGCCTTCCAGGATTGCCTTCAGTCCACCTGTCAATCACAACGCTCTTCTTGTCTCCTTCAGCCAAAACCACGGTAACCCTGTCTGCACATAAACTGGTGGCAGGGGATCTGCAGACTTCATCATCAATTGGCTCAAACATGTTCACACGGGGTGTCAAATGCCTGCGGATCAAAACAGAACCTACGGTGACCCAAGCATCTGGGCTGTGGCAAGCTTCCCGAACAAGATTGGCCTGATGAGCTGCAAGTTCCAACCAAGAGTATTCAACATTCCTGACAACATTTGTGTCTGCTATTTCCTCTGGGGCTTCGTACGAATGCATGTACAAACTGTAGTACTGCTGTGCTGAGAGGCCTGGGATGCCTCGCCGGACAAACTCTGCAACATCAGTTGGGCCCGGCGCTGGCCTACGTTCTTCGAAGGCCAAAATGGCACTGGAGTGAGGACTAGACCAAACAACATCTCCTACACTTGAGACCCAAACAGCTTTGTCTGCCTGGGTTGGGTGTGTGTGCATGCGCCATCGCTTCAGGTCTGCTGATTTCCACTTCTTTGGACCTGACACACGCGTGAGACTTGTTGTGACCCCATCTCGCACTGCAACAATGGCACCTTCAGGGATGGTTTCGTCGATGCCAATGAACACTCCATATTTGACTTTCGGCACGAAATCACCTCCCTCGCGAACAGCTTGTTCTTTGGCAGGCACAATCACGCAGTCGCCAGGAACAGGCAGCTTTGATGGGACTGTTCTGGCCAAAGCACTCTGTCTAAGGAGAAAGCAGGCGTGGGGCAAGACGTGCGCCCACATGGTCACCGGGAGCTTTCCCTCTTGCAGAAGAGCTACGGTTTTTTGCTTTACAATCCCAACGTACCTTTCAGCACGTCCATTTTGCGCTTTGTCCCCTGGCTGAGACGTTGTTTGAAAAACACCAATTTCCTGCATGGCTGATCGAAACAAATTTGACACAAACTCTCCACCGCAGTCGCTGTGCACTTGGGCAATGGGAAGTTTGCCGCCAAACAAAGAACGCAAGATCCCGAGGACATGCCGGGTGGCAGTGAGGACGATTGCAGACGTCTTGTCGAGCACTGGGACCCCATAAACAAGATTCAACCCATTGTCAAGAGTTGCAACTGCAATAAGGGCATACTGAGCATGCGTTTCAAAAGCCCTCGGATGTGGTCCTGTCAGGTCCAAACTCAACACGGCTGTGCTTCTAGCATTTACTGGTACTTTCCTGTGAATGCGTCTGAGGCCAAGAGCTTCCTGACATGCTTCACAATCAGGACGACTTGGCACATGGCCACACCTGGCATGTTCATCTTTGGCATCAGCATCTAAACTCAAGGGGCCAAAGCAAACTGTGGCTCCAACGTCATCTGGTTCGGAATTTCCAATGTGCTCTACTACACCTTTGCCAAAAACGGCTGCAACTGCAGATTGACGCATGTCAGGCGCCGGCTGATACTCTTGGTCTTGCAGCACATCTGAGGATCGGGACTGAAGATTGCTGGGAATGCCAGCGCACCAGGGATCAACCTGACATGGTGCCTCCCCGCCCAAACACCCCTGTACTGTGGCCTCGTATCGCTGATGCGACATTGGAAGCTTGAATCCAAACGAAGACAAACTACTGCCCATCTCATGCGTGACAAACTTTCCAGTTCCTGCAGTGTACACACTAACAGAAATTCTTGTGCCGAGAAATTTCTCAACAGAATGGACCAAATGCTTTGCGTTGAGCTTCAACCAATGGCCTTTAGTGGGGTACAGGGTGCCCATCAACATTTTATCTTGGTGGCGAACTTCTGTTTGACCAGCTGGATCTTCTACCCATAGTTTCCCCCCTTCAAAGTCACCAAAAGCCCTCAAGTAAGACACCCCTTGGTTTCTCGAATCTCTGTGAGGCGCTACCTGAGCATTCTTTGACATGTGGATGTGCGAAGTACTGTGCAGCCTACTCACATGACCCATGCACAAGGATGACACGCACAAATCATGATGAAAGATGCAGTTGTCACTACATGTCATTACTCATGGAAACCATGAGGACTTGATGCATCCGAGACCCCTTTGGCACAAAAGAATGCGCGCCGCTGTTGGCCGTTTGTTCGCATGGTAGCGGAGCCCATCATTGGGCAGACGCTTTCCCGTTGCTGAGCCTTTACTGGGGACAAAGTTTCATAGCTGGATTCTGGATTCAAACACAGGTGGCAGAAACTGTTTTTCTGGGAAATACTGGTAGGCTGAAGGCCTAAACACAGGTTCTGGATTGCAGGTGTCGCTTGGTGGATTCAGTTTGCTGGCGTGGTGATTGCATTTTGCAACAGTGAACTTTGGGGTGCAATTTGGATTTTGCTGCAACGAGTTAGTCAGGGATTTGGCATTTCAGCATGGACTCTCCACAGGGAGCAAATCCTTTTGCTGGAGGTTCACCAACAGGTGCAGCTTCGACAGGTGGAGCTGCTGCTGGAACTGGCCTTGAAGGCCTTGATGGCATGGAAGTAGCGAGGAGGATGGTTCAGGCGGCAGAAGCTGCCGCATTAGCTGCGCAGGCAGCAACACGTGCTGTGACTGAGGCTTCAGCTTCATCGAGGCCGAGCACAGATGACAGTAAGCAGTGGTGGAAACTGCTTCCCAAACCTCCTACATTTGACCATTCAAGCAGGGAGAACGAAATTTCTGCATGGCGTGAGTGGGCTTGGTCATTTGAACAATATGTTGCTTCGATAGATGCCCGATTTGCAGACGACTTGCAACAAGTTCGTGCAAACCCTGACAGAGCAGTAGATCCTGTGGACTTCACTGACTTGGAGAGGCAAAGGAATCATTTCTTATACAGTTTACTTTCATCACTTGTACGTCAACGAGCACTTTTGGTGATCAGGCAGGTTGAAAACTCAAACGGGCTCGAGGCCTATAGACAACTTGTCCAGCAGAATGAGCCGATGACAAAGAACAGGAGTATGGGACTCCTCAACGCCATTATGAATTGGCCTACGTTTTCAGCTAAGACATCCTTGATGCAGCAGGTGTTGCGTTTGGAACATGCTTTTGCTGAATATGAGCGACTTGGGGCAAAGTTGAACGAGAACCTCAAGACGGCCATTCTCATGCGTTGTGTAACTGGACAGTTGAAAGTGTGGTTACAACTTCAAGTGAATGAATCAACAAACTATGCAAAGGTCAGAGAAATGGTTTTACTGTATGACTCCTCAACGACAAAGTGGACAGAACAGATGGTTTTGGGGAGTGACAACACGATGTCTTCTACAGATGGTCCTGTGCCGATGGAGATAGATCGAGTGGAGTCCAAGGGCAAGAACAAGGGAGCCAAAGGCAAATCCAAGAACAGCCCCAAAGGCAAGTCAAAAGGAAAAGGAAAAGCAAAAGATGGTAAAGGCAAGGGAAAATCCTTTGACCAAAAAGGCTCTAAGGGAAACGTCAATGCACAGAATGACAGATCCAAGGGCAAAGGTAAAGGAGATTCCAAAGCATGTTTTGTTTGCGGGCGACAAGGGCATTTAGCAAAAGATTGCTGGCATTCACCGCATGTGAGACAGGTTGGTTCTGACATGATGCAGGGTACAACAACAACTGCACAGGGATCACCATCCTCATCTTTGGGTGGAATGTCAAGCGTTTCTCACCAACAGCCAGTGACGCCGTCGCCAGCAACTCAGTATAAGGTAGCAAGAGTTTGTGAGGTTGATCCAGAGAGCGAGATGATTTTTGACATGCGCAGTGCAAGTCCCTCAAGTGTTCATGGTGGTGTTCATGCAATCTATCATTACATTGGGGATTCTGGTGATGATGCTTTTGATGAGTGCTTTTTCAATGGATCAGTACGGACAATTTCAAATGATGGAGTTGACAGTAACCGCCTGGAAGAAGTTCACCATATCCTTCTGGACAGTGGAGCAGATGCTTCCATTTTCCCTGCAAGTCTTCTGGGACGTGGGAAGCCAGCAGCGAGCTCAATTGGTCGTTTGGTCGATGCCCAAGGAGTTGAAATTCCAGTAGAAGCCACACAAGATATGGAAATTGCTTTACAAGACATGAATGGACGTTTGATTCTCTTGCGTGAAACAGTAGCTGTATCTGACAGAGTTTCTCAACCAATTTTGAGTTTTGGAAAGATGCTTGAGAATGGATGGGGAATCGACGGCAACCAGCAAATGCTTGTTCACACCTCAGCTGGAGCAGCCATCCCACTGGAATTGCAAAACAAGTCAATGGTTGTTCATGGCAGCATTCGAGTTTTGAGTGAACAATGTGCACCTGCAGGGAATTTCCATGTCAGGGCAATACAGGCTGATGTGAATGCAGACGTTGTCAATGGCTCAGTTGGTTGGCAGCTTGATGCACGTGGATGCGGCATTGGTCGTCATTTCTCAGACCATCACCAAGACCCATTGCTAGTGAAACCAGATATCAGTGGACAGTTTTTTCGAACTACCCTGGTGGAAGGTAATGACAAAAGATGGTATGTCATGGAGCTTTGTGAACAGTTGCAAGGGCTGGTACAGCTGGATGCTCAGTTTTACGAGATGCATGGCCGCAGGAACATCATTACCTTCATCACTGATGCTGAAAAGGATCCTCTTGTTATGGGTTTTTCACTGGTGGATGAACAGCCTGAGAATTTTCCGGTTGAACCAGAGTTGGAACAAGATGTTGCAATTGCGGATGATGCAGAAGTTGCCATTGAAGGCAGAGACATACCAGAAGGTCAGATCGTTGTGAAACCTATCCCTGAGGATGAGGTAAATGTGAATGGAGTGCTGCTCAGGGAATCCAGTACGCTAGCTACGCTACGTGCAGGATGCTCTTTCTACGGAGTTTCAACCTCAGGTTCAAAGCAGAAATGTTTCAAGCGTTTGATTGAACATTCGAAGAAACTGGAACTTGAAGCAGTGATGGCAGCTGCAAAAGAAGCTCAGAGCCAGCAAGAGAGACACCCACTTGCACCGGTCTCAGCTGAGATTCCATCTGAGTACGAGCAATCGCAACACAGATTGACTCATGTCCCTTACAGGGCTTGGTGTCCATCATGTATTGCACACCGCGCTAGAGCGGATAGGCACGAACGCACTGGAGAAGCGCATGCAGGAGAGGTTCCAACAGTCAGTTTTGACTATTTCTTTACAAAGTCTGATGGTCTTGGTGGTGAACATGATGAAGCAGAAAAGATTACATCACTGGTGGTAGTGGACAGCCAGACGGGCTTTGTTTCATGCATACCACTGGAAGGAAAGTCACAGCTAGACCATGCAAACAGAGAGATTGTCAAGTTCATTCAGATGTTGGGCCATTCAGAGGTGATCCTGCATTGCGACAATGAGCCATCGATTCTTCAGTTGAAAAGGTTGGTTTTGAAGACGCGTCAAAGCATGGGCCTTAAAACACGTGAGACGTCAGCAGTTGCATACGACAAAGGAAACAGTCTGGCAGAGAATGCAATTGGAAGAATCAGAAGCCTAGCATGCACGTTGATGCATCAGTTACACGGGCGCATCGGGATCCAACTTGAGACATCAAATGCAATTTGGAGTTGGGCCCTACGACACTCAGCTTGGCTGATCTCAAGGTTCTCTGTGATCAGGGGCGCTACGCCCTATGAACTGGCTTTTGGAAGGGCGTATTCTGGAGAGTTGTGCGAGTTTGGTGAACCAATTTTTGGGTTCGTGATTCCAGCTACAAAAACAACAGCGAAATGGAAAAGGATGCTGTTTTTGGGGAAGGCCGACATTCAAAATAACTATGTGGCATTTGATGGTCAATCAATCCTCTTGACACGAAGTGCACGAAGGATCAACACAAGCTGGAGGAGCCACATGGCATACTACTTACATTGTCGATGTTTTCCCTGGCAGTACAAGGCTGGTTTTGGATCCAGAATTTTGCCAACAATGAAGAAGCCGGTGCCAAAGTCAGTGGCCTTTGATATGCCTCTTGGTCCAGTGGAGGGAGGCAGTGATCCAGTATGCAGAGCAGGAGAAGAAAGCAGAAGAAGAACAGGCTGGAATGGCAGCCAATGATCCCTTGAGCCTTGCGTTGCGTGAAAAGCTTGGTGAAGGTGTTGCAGGTGAGTTGGAAGGGGCTCAGATCATGGATGAAGAACCAGACCATCCAGTATCAGCTGCGCCTTTACACATTGCAGCTGACAATACAGTGCCTATGGAAGATCCTGGATTAGCAGTTCCAGTGACACCGCCTCGAGACCACATTGAGATTGACAGCCCACGAGAAGCTGCTCCATCGCGTCCAAGCGATCATCCAAGTGAAGAACTGTTGAAGAAACAAAGAACAGAAGAGGCAAAGCGACAGCGCATCAACAGACTGAAACTGGAATATGAAGAGAGGTTGAGCGCAGTGAAGATTGCCTACAAAGAATACTTTACTATGGATGATTACACAACTGACTTGGACACAGACAATCAGGTGGATGACAGCGATGACTGGGTTGGAGAAGATACAGTGATTTTGTCAGGCATTCCTGAGTCACTTTGGTCTGACGCTCCAATTGACCAACGTGCGCCGGACCCGCCTGAAAAATGGATTGATGACCTTGCAGATCGAGTTGAAATCCAAAGGCTTTGCAGCATGCAGGTTTTAGTGCCACGAGATGCTTTTCAGGGAGAAATCACTGGCAGTTTAACAACGAAAATGGTGCGAGACTGGAGACTCAAAGTTTTTGGAGAAGGAGACCAACAACGCAAGCGCTGGATGCGCAGATCTAGGCTGGTGGCAAGGGAATTCGCAACAACAAAACGGCTGGATACGTTTTCCCCCGCTACGGGGGCACACACGTCAAACCTCCTACAACTCAAATACCTTGGAATGAAAGGTATGGCTGCTGAGTCAAAGACAAAGGAGGAGTACGACGTCATCATGGGAAGTCTTGACGTGCGTGATGCCTTCTTACAAGTTGAGCAGGATGATCCAGTCCTAGTTTACCTTCAAGGTGAGCCCTTTGTCATCAAAAGGAATTTGCCTGGACAGCGTTTGGGAGCAAAGCAGTGGTTCTTATGTTTGAAAACCTTCCTCATGGAGGAGTTGGGATTCACTTTCTGCGCAGAGCAACCATGTTTGGCTCGAACACCCGAGGCAACCATTATGATCCACGTGGATGACATTTTGTTTGTGGGATTGAGATCGTTTTGGAATGACAAGTTTTTGAAGAAGATGAAAGAACGATTTACTGTCAGTCATGACGAGCTGAAGGGTGTTGGAAGTCACATCACTTTCTTGCGCAGGAAAATCATGGAAGTTGAAAATGGTTTGATCCTAGCTCCAGGGACAACAGTTGAAAAGGTTGCTGATGCGTTTGAGTCTGCGTTTGGCAGTGCCAGGTGTCAGAAACTTCCCAATGATCCAAGTTTGCAAATGCCTGATAGCTCTCAGAAACTTTCAGTTTCAGATGCAAGTGCATACAGGTCAATTGTTGGATTGTGTTTGTACATTGCCAGGGAACGCCCGGACCTTATGTACACGATCAAAGAACTGTCAGCATGCATGAGTTCACCAACACTTGCAGCACTTGCACATTTGCGAAAAATGATTGGTTACATGAAGGCAGTTGGAGATGTGGGAGTTCTTTTAGAGTACCCGCAGCCTGGTCAGGGAAGATTGGACGCAGGAGGAGTTTCAGAATGGATTCTTGAAAGTTTTTCAGATGCTGACTGGAGCTCTAATCGAGCAACAAGGAGATCAACATCATGTGGGGTTCATTACATCAACGGTTGCTTTATGTTTGCAAGCAGCAGGAGTCAGAAGGTAGTGTCGTTGAGCTCTTGTGAGAGCGAATTGCGCAGCTTGATCAGTTGCGCATGTGACAGCCTTTTCATAAAAGCCTGTGCAACGTTTGTGCTTGGAGAACCACCACAACATGTTATATACACCGACTCAAGCTCAGCACGACAATTAGCATGTCGGCAGGGTGCAGGAAAAGTGAGGCACTTGTCAGGGAAGCTGCTTTGGATTCAGGAGAAGACGGCAGATGGAAGCTTTCAACTACGTCAGGTGCCCACTGCAAGCAATGTTGCCGATATTGGCACAAAAACACTGAGCAGGCAGAGGCTGTTTTACCTTTTACATGAGTGCGGATTGGTTTACATCACAGACCTCACAAGGGTTGGCGCAGATGAGTTTGCAATGCAGAGTGAAAAGATGGTACACTCCAAACAACTGAAACAAATCACAAAGGCGATTCTCAGAATGAGCATAGCCATGGGTATAGCTGGGGGTCTTGAGCCTACTAGAGTGGGTGCGGCAGCTCAACAATGCGAGCTTTCACAACAGGACTCCAAACATAATGCCTGGTTGATGTTTTCACTGGTCGTTTTTGGAATTTGCGTGGTTACAGTGGTTTTCAAACTTACGCTGAAAACATGGAGGTACTTGGAACAGCGTTTAGGTTTTTTGGAAACTGCAGTACGTGGAATTACAGGTGATGTGGAACAGATTCAAATCCAACTTGCAGACCACTATGACTATGCGGCTGAACTGAATGCTCATATTGATGAGTGTAGCAGCATGACACATGCCTTGAGCGACAATCACTTGGCCTTGTTGGCAAGACAACAAAGTTTGGAACAGGAGATGTTGGAAGGATTCAGAAGTGGAGAAGAGGCAACAAACTGTGTCCGCTATGGACTCATGGAATTTGGCGGCTTCACAAGATTTGCGTCTCTTACTGGTGAACAAATCAGACATATGATGACTCAGGAGCGGGGCAATTTCATGCTCTGGAATATGAAAAACCGTACAGAAAATACAGATCCAATTGAAGAAGTTCCAGGACATCTTGAGCAAGCAGAAGAAGAATCACCGACGTCAGATCCAGAAACTGACGGAAATGATGGAGGAAATCCACCATCCAGGTTGGAGAGGCTTCTGCACAACATGCGGTCAGATCAGAATGCTGCATTAGCCAGAGAGATGTGGCACGATGCAAGCGAGATACAGCATGCAATAGTGGCCGCATTGGAAGCTTCATCGACTTTAGCTGGATTGACTACAGAGACAGTGAACAGAATCAGGAATGTGTTCCAACGGTTATAGCGTTATCACAGGAACAGAGGCAGTGATGAAACACGTGACCGTTATAGACTGTATGTCGAAGACATGGACAGCATGATGGTGTGAATTCAATTTTGGAATACAAGCAATGCAGAAACAGAGAAAAGTTCTGATTATGCGTTGGAGAAGGCAGCAATATGTTGCCAAAAGAGCTTAGCGCTCAAGTGGCAAAGGAGGAGTGCGAAGTACTGTGCAGCCTACTCACATGACCCATGCACAAGGATGACACGCACAAATCATGATGAAAGATGCAGTTGTCACTACATGTCATTACTCATGGAAACCATGAGGACTTGATGCATCCGAGACCCCTTTCGCACAAAAGAATGCGCGCCGCTGTTGGCCGTTTGTTCGCAGGATGGATGTCCAAACTGCATCGTGAGGCAACTGCTGGGCTAGTATTGCGTTGATCAGCTTCACTGTGTGTGGGATGCGATGCGTCCACGTTGTGACACCGCTGAAAGAGCCATGCTGATACAAACCAATGACAACCGAGTTTGTCTTTCCTTGGCTTGCTTCATTGGCCTGACGTGGCGCAAATCGGTCTGCATAGGGTAGCTGTGAAACAAGTGCTTCAAGAACACCAGGCAAATCTTTCTCAGCTAGGACATGGAATTCAGACAAATAAGCCTTTGCGACTTCTTCAAGGGCATGTGCTTGAATTTCTCTGATCCTAGCTGAGGCCGGAATGGCTTCTGGCTCCAAACACAGCATCCTACTGCACCACACGTCTCCTTCTTCTGCAGCATCAACTTCGTCCGCTCGGGTGAGCGTGGACCACACTGCTTCCTCATCTTCTTCAGCCGACCCCGCATTCAAACTTCCACATTTTTGCGCTACTGCACCTCTCTGGAAGCTTTTTGCCAACTGCTTGCGAATACCCTTGAAATCTTTCCATTTCAAATAAGGCAAATCATGTCTCATGACGCAGGTGACTTTGTTTCCAGACGGTGCTACAAGCTCTACTGCAGCCGGCTTCCAAACAACCTGATATCCAAGCTCTTGCACGAGGCGACTGACGGGCAAAATCCAAGGAGTTTTGGCATGGGGCTGACTGAACTTTCTTGGCAAAACAACTTCGCCCTGGCATGTTTTCCACCCTTGGCGCATTTCTCCACTGGCAAGGGTCACATTTAGAGGCGTTGCTTGGCCGAGCTCTTTTTCCACCTCCTGGTCCCAGGGTCGCAAAACTTGATTTGCTCCAGAATCAACCAGAACCCATGGCAAGGGGTCTTTCACCATCGCAGCATCTACGGACTGCAACCTTGCTTCTAGATCGCTCTGAACGTGCAACATGGACGCGAGGACTTCCACACTTGGCGTCGGCGCCTTTGCTTCAGCAGTTTTTGCTTGGACCTTTGGTTTGGCCTTGCCTTTTCCTTCACCTTTCCCTTTGCCATCACCCTTTGAACCATCTCTACCTTTAGGAGATCCCTTTTGCTTTGGCTGGGCCTTGCTGGGTGTCTTAGGTTCTGCTTTACTGGGCTTGTCTGGCTTGACATGCTCATACGGGCATGGGTTACGCGAGCAACCTCCGGGTTTGGCGAAGAAATGGCAAGGCTTTCTTTTGGGAGATTCACGCACAGCATTGATACCTATACCTTGGGCACTTGAACGTGTGCGCTCATCCTGTTCTAACATCATCAACTCCTGTTCAACCTGCTGCTCGAAAACTAGAACGCCTTGCTCGGTCGGCTGGCGAACTTCAGAGGCAAGGCGGGCAGCCTGAAGTGCAAACCTGAGCGACTCATGCTTCCGTTCCATACTGGCAACGATCTCTTCCAAGGCCATTAGAAGTTCAGTGGGAGGAGGCTGGGAAAGACCAAGGCGAGTGAGCCTGTGCTTTGCACTTCTCCACAATCGGAGCCTCGCTCTGCAGTCTGCAGCTGACACGAAAGCACCACCAGGGCGTCGAACAAACTCAAGCAACGACCTGCGGTCTTCCTTGCCTCCGGGCGCGCACCATTCCAGTGCTTGGTGAACCAGTTCCAGGCTTGTCGGCGCCCGGCTTGGATGAGCTTCTAGCATTGGCCGTTTGATTTCCTCAGGCAGCGCAGCCATTAACGCAACCAACAACTTTCCTTCCAACTGTTCACTTCCTTGTGGCAAAGTCGAGAGGCCTAGCGAGCCATCTGCTGCAACAGTGACACGCTCGGCAATGCTCAAGCTTTGATTTCTGCTGTAGACATCGCGAGCTTTTGCAAGCACAAACCTCCAGTGCGACTCCATACCCTTTCCTACGGCAGAAGCGGTGATGGACATCTGCTGAAACCAGAGGTCTAACGCCATGCACTTCTCCCATGCTCTGTCACCTGTCAAGCTCAGCGCAGGACTTTGTTTCATGTACTTATAGTCCCCAAGGCCAACATTTCCTTCAGAAACTGCCATTGATGCAACTGCATGTGCTTGGGCGTTGGGCAACCCTGGCGGGCACTGCCAACCTTGAGACTGACCTAGGCTGGACTCGGACACTGACTCTGGCACGCCACCCATTCCGCCAAGAGCGGCACTACCACCATGACCAACATCACTAGCACCAACATGAGACCATGAAGCTGTTGCAACTGAAACACTTGGCTCCTTTGCTTGAGGAACTGCTGGAATGGGTGCAGCTGCAGCTGCTGGGAGAGGACCGGCAGAGCTTGACGACTTTGCCGGGGGCGCACGTGGCTCTATCCTTGCGAAAGGCAACGGCGGCACTTCAGGAAGGTTCTGCACGGTGCGGTCAGAAGGCTGGTTGGCCTGTGGAAGACTACATGAGATGACTTCTGGGCTCATTACAAAATGCTCTGGCCTACGGTTTCTCGGGGTCATGCAAGCAAGGTCGGGCAAATCATGCTCTAGAGCATTTCGGGCAACATCACACTGAGCAGCGACCAACTCATCAAGCTGATTTGCAACATGGTTCATCATGTCTTGAAGGGCCTCAACCCGAACATGCAAGACGCTTGTGTCATCACTGGCACGAACATGCTGCGCAACAACGTCATGCAACGCATCACATCGAAACTTCAGGGACTCAACTTGCTGGCACTCTTGTTGAACATGACTAAGCACTGACCGTTGGTTGGACACCTCTATTTCTAAGGCGTTCAGTCTTGCGACAACATCTCTACACAAGTTTTCCAACACTGTCACCCTACCTGTCAAGTCAATCATGTGTTTCTCTTGCGCAGCTAAGTCGGCCTGAAGCTGCTCACGCACCTGATCGCACAAACTACGAGGAATCTGCTGAACTGCTTCACCAAGGACCTGGGTCCTTCTGAACAACTCCTGGATCAGAATTGCTGCATCTTGCTGGCTTTGCGCCGTCTGATTTGCCCATGCATTCATCTGATTGAGAAGTTCTGGTTCAATCGTCAGCTCTTGCATCAACATAGATCGCACATGAACAGGTCCAGATGCGGAGTCGCCAGGGCCCAACGCTCTTGCAGCGTTGGGCTCATAACCTGTTAATTGATGAGGACCCTGTTCATGTTCCATCAACCCTCACAGCATGCACGTGACACTCACTCCTTTTTCAAACTTGAGCCAAAATGGCTACGCAAAAGTACACTTCTGATTTGTGCGTGTCGCTTTCCATCTTTCACACTTCTCGATTTGTGCTCTCTCCATGCGTTCCATTCTTGAGTCATGCTAATCTTCTCCGTATTGTTCCTGGCCTCACATGTCACAAAAAACACAAGCAAGACAGCAACAGCTTTGTGTTGCCATCCTCTCCCCAGCGCAACGCCGTCCTCAAAGTTGTGGTGAAAACGGGGAGGGGCGACCTCGTCGGCGATGTGTTGCCAATCAGGCGGTTGCCAACCGTAGTTTTGGATGGCGGTGGCTGCGCGTTGGGTTGCTTCCAGCGCGTGTGACCGTGTGTGGTCAGCTTGCAACTGTTGAAGTATCTGTGCGAATGCTTCCGGTGCTTGTTGTTGTAACGCCGGGATGGCGTCGGCCCATGAAGCCCAATAGGCGGAAGGTGCCAGAATGGTTGCCGAAGCCAAGCCAACCCCCGCCGTTGAGAGGGAGGTGGGCGATTAAGGTCTGTGAGGCAGGCTGCAACAGCCGTATCGTGTCCTGTGGAGAAGGCTGCTGTGATGTTGAGGGGGAGCATGCGGAGATGGTAGTGGCAACGCGGGCTGGCGCAGAACAGGAGAAGCAACCAGGCGGCCTGCAAGCCTTCGAGGTTTGGAAGGCGCTGGAGCAAGAAGTTGTGTTGGTCCCTGATGTGCTGAAGCTGCTGGAACCTGTACGCGTCACTGCCGACCGGGGTTCCTGAAACCAGGAGCCCTTGTTCGTGCGGAGAGGCTTCGTTGCCGCCGACCCAGACGTCCGGCCCCAAAGTCTGGATGTTTCGGGGGGTTTGGTTTGCTTGATTCCAGACACGTGTTTTGCCTGCGTTGAGTTGGATGCGCGCTTTGTGGAACAGGTGGTGTTGCAAAAGGTCGTAGACTGGGCGCACCCGATGTGGCGGGAGAACCACATATACATCGTCGAGGAAAGCGACCAAGGTTTCCCCCGGCTGGAGGTTGCTGTGAACCGTTTGGAGGGTTGCTCTCTGGCCAAGGGAGAAAAGCATGCGGATGTAGTGGCATAAAATTGCCGAACAAAGGGCAAGCAAGTGTTGGCCCCCTCCCACCTCCGCAAGTGCTTGTAACCGGCTGGCGCGCGCTATGGTGTCATGAGTTCCGATGCCATCAATGGAGAGAATGGAGCTGGTTGGCGCAAGTTCTGTGAGGGACGTGATTGTATGGACGACTGCCTCCTACCCAGCATGGGTGGACAACGCATCCTAGTGGGAGCTGCACGCCTGCTGGAACGTGTGGGCGTGGTGTTGGGCTAAGCTGCGTGCCACCACTCGGCGGAGAAGATCGCCGACGACAATGCCCCGGAACCGACAATTTGGTTTTGACAAGGCCACTAACCGCCCGAGACCTAAGGCTGCACTGATTGCTGGGGGGATGTTTGCCTGTGCCGAGCGTGTGGCTACAGCGACAAAATTGTTTGTGATACTTTCCTCATCTAAAATCAGCCTCAAAGTTTCGGCCGTGAGGCCGGAAGGGCCTGGGGCGGCGCCCTTACGTGCCCGGCGGACATTGGCCAGGTTTGTGGGGCTGGCAGGCTGGAATTGGAGAACGTGTTCCGGTATCGGCTGGTATGGTTGGGCTGGGCGGTGTGCTGGGTCCCGAAGTTCTTGCAAAGTTGCTTCTTTGTGGGGTGCCAAGGACCCTGCCGTGAGTGCTTGTCGGGCTGCCGGTAGTTCACCTTGGTGGACTAGCTGGCGGGCTCGTCGGGTTTGTTGTTGGGTTGTTGGGGCCTGTTCTGTTGGTGTGCTGTTGTTGGTCGTGCTGTCTTGTGCTGCTCGCAGCAGGGCCAGCCATTCCCCAGTTTGGAAGGCTGCGATCCGGGCGTGCCATTCAGGTTTGGGAAGTGTGCGCACGCCGGTCGGACGGTGGAGCAACATGCGGGGAAGGAGGAGCCACAGTTTCCACGCTCGAACGCTTTGCTGCTGTGTTTTTGCTTGCTGTATGCCAAGCCCAAAGCATGACGGACGCGGCCTTTGAGGAAGGGTGATGGGGACTGGAACCCGGAGAACTTGGTCTTCAGCCGTTTGCAGATCCACGCCGTCCAGGGTAGCCAAAAAATTGTGGAATTGCTGGCGGTTAGCTGGGGTCGTGCTAGTGTCGGGTTCTGCTGGTGCCGTTTGTTAGTTGAGTTGATTCTCCCTGAAATACATTGGCGTTGGGTGGTACTTGCCTACCTACCCCTGTGGGTATTTATCTTTGGGAATGGTTCTGGAATGGTTTCCCGTTTGGCCAATTGTGTGAGGTACCAGCTACTGCAAGGGTAAACCCCTTTGGAACTGTTGTATGCTTAGCTAGCTTAGATAGTTTAGATAGCTTAGATAGCTTAGATAGCTTAGATAGTTTAGATAGCTTGGATATTTTCATTTGTTGAAATAGTTTAGATTCGTTCACTTTTTTCACAGGCATTCGTCTACTTGTAGAAGAACAAAACATGGCAGAAACACTTTTTAGCTGATTTGATTATCTCTGAAATTCATTGGCATTGGGTTGTACTTGCCTACCTACCCCTGGGGGTATTTATCTTTGGGAAGGGTTCTGGAATGGTTTCCTGCTTGGCCAAACGTGTGAAATACCAGCTGCTGCAAGGGGAAAAAATTTTGGACCATTTGCATGCTTACGTAACTGTCTTTTGTTCATTTGTTGCACAGGCACTGGTCCACTTGTAGAAGAACGAAAAATTGCAGAAACTGTTTTTAGCTGATTTGATTATCTCTGAAATTCATTGGCATTGGGTTGTACCTGCCTACCTACCCCTGGGGGTATTTATCTTTGGGAATGGTTCTGGAATGGTTTCCCGCTTGGCCAAACGTGTGAAATACCAGCTGCTGCAAGGGGAAACCATTTTAGACCATTGTATGCTTAGATACCTTACATATGAGCATTTGTTGCACAGGCACTGGTCTACTTGTACAACAACAAAGATTGGCAGAAACACTTTTTAGCTGATTTGATTATTTCTAAATTCATTGGCATTGGGTTGTGCCTGCCTACCTACCCCTGGAGGCATTTTCTTTCGGGAAGCGTTCTGGAATGGTTTCCCGCGTGGCCACACGTGTGAAATACCAGCTACTGCACCGGGAAAAAAATTAAACCACTTGCATGCTTAGGTAACTTTCATTTGTTCATTTGTTGCACACGCACTGGTCTACTTGTAGGGGAACAAAACATGGCAGAAACTGTTTTTAGCTGATTTGATTATCTCTGAAATTCATTGGTATTGGGTTGTACCTGCCTACCTACCCCTCGGGGTATTTATCTTTGGGAATGGTTCTGGAATGGTTTCCTGCTTAGCCAAACGTGTGAGGTACCAACTACTGCAAGGGGAAACGTTTTTAGAACTGTTGTGTGCTTAGTTAGCTTAGTTAGCTTAGATAGCTTAGATAGCTTAGATATGTTCATTTGTTGCACTGGCATTCGTCTACTTGTAATAAAACATAAATGGCAGGAACACTTTCAGCTGACTTGATTATCCCTGAAATTCGTTTGTCTGTCACTACAACTGTTTCCAGTGGGGAAAATTTCTACCTACCAGTTTGCCGCTCACTTCACCTATCGGGCCTTTTCGTTCAGAGATGTTGAGCTAGACAATATTTGGCCCACGCCTTTTCGGAATTAAATCAAAAGAACCGCCCAAATGCATACAAATCTCGAGCAAATGCACGTACGTTTTCGACGCGGGATTTTGCAGCCTCTTGTGACACAACATGGAAAAACCACTTTATGTGTGCCTCAGGTGACAGCAAAAGAAGCAAACATGCTAAAAATATTTTTAAAAAAACGTAAGTTGTTGAGTGAATGCAAAGGTAAAGGTACAGCTAACCACTTCAAAACTTAGCTGAACCCACAAGTTCCCCCAGTGATAAATGTTGTTACCATGTACAGAGATCAAGAAACAAACTGAACTGTGAATTTGACATTTTTTTACCGTGTACCTGTATATACAGTAATCCTTCTGTGTTTTTGTGCCGAATGGCATTGGTTCGGCAATCTTGTTGCGACATAATGCAATCGAGCCTTGTAAATCACCAAAACCATAGTTTCAACAGGAGGATCGAACTGGCAAATTGCGTTCAACCACCAGCTCACTAGGGATCACAAATACCTGCACAAACCTTGGACCATATATCATCATATTCTATTGTAGAAGCTTCCAAGGTTCTACAATGTTTACGGGACCGGAGGTGCTACATATATAATATTTTTTTCATTCTAGAACCCTCCGTGTTTATCCCCAGGGGGGAGCATTCTAGAACCTTCCAACTTGAGGGTATCCTTCCTCATCATCGACGTCATAGTTGAGCACTGTTTCGCGTGTGGTGTGTTTGATGCAGATCAAAGTCTCGAATGAATTGTTAATTATGAATTGAAAGTTATCAAAACCATTGGAAAACGCAATGGAAATGTTTCTTACCACTTACATCCAACGGTTTTTTGTGTTCCAAACACTGGAGGATGGTGACGATAAACTCAAGGAATGCACGTGTTTTGGTTTCTCTACAATGTCAGCCTTCCTCGACATTTGGTCCTAAAAACCCCCACGTGGTTTTTTCAGATTCCGGTTTTCACCATTCCAATTTTTAAAAAATACAAGTTTCCGACTTGCAAATTCCATTGGGACCCTGCTTGGGTTTTTTTTGAAACCCCACTGGCACGTTCTGCCGTCCAATGCGTGTCTCTTAAAATTCGTCATGTCCGTCGACTGTGAAATGTTTGCGCGCAAAGTCGGCTAGCGCGCGGAAAACATATTGTCCTTCTGCGGCGTGGAACATCTTGGTTTAGCAAACGCACGCGATGTCAAAGGTA